TCTGATTTGCATGCTGTAGGTGTTTGTTTGACCACTTAGATGATTAAAGTCGGTGTGCAGTGTTTTGGATGGCTTTGTTTTTGCTGGTTTTTGAATGACTTTGCAAATTGGCATATTTAATGGAGTGACTGAAAGAAATGATGCAGGTTTTTCAAAACTCTGTGTGTGTGTGTGTGTGTGTGAGACTATGTGTGCACCCTTATGTTTACTTATTGGATATAAAGAGTAAAAAAAGACTTGATGATAAAAATGGCAAAAAAATATGTAAATGCAAATAGAATTAAGTTATATGGCTGCTATTCCCATTTTTGCTCTGCCATAGTTATGAAACCTGACATAGGGCAGCAGGTACCAGTTGACTAATGAAGAAATTAATAACATACCTTTACCTTATTTACCCAATATTGGATGGGGAAACAGATGTAAGACGCCTGATGCTGTAATCAGTGTTTTCTGAGCTGTTATGTTTTCCAGTGTGTTCTGTCTCTGTACTCTTACAAACAGCAATGAGATGTTGCTCAACATCAAAAGATTTCTGTGAAGTTTTTTATGAATGTAATGAGAATTTTATTTTCTTGTACAGATTTGATGGAAACTCATCCTAATTATCTCACCCATATTTCTATTACAAGAGTTTTAAATGAACATTTATCTTCTAGTGCATGGATTTGTGTGAATTTAGTTTAAATAACCCCGAGATACTCATGAAAGAGTGAAGATCACAGATCACACTACAGAGAGAAGTGTCCTTGAAGCAGTGGTGCAGGTTGTCAGTAGGACTATTATCAGCAGTCTGTATGGTTATAGGATACCTCTGAGCCTGTAATTAGTATTTGGATGAGTCAGGAGTTTCTGCGGTCTGGGTGAACAATTTTGTGCGTCCTAATATAATCTCAAATCAGAATTAGATTTTGAGTTTAGCTCCCTCTGGTGGAAGCTATGGAGTCTTGGCTTCTGTTACTGTGCTATGCTAGTTGCCTGTTGTACTCACTTCAAAATAGGGCTGCATGATATGGACAAAATAATAGTATTGCACTTAAAAGCATTGCAATTGGGACATTCTAGCATTCCAGAGCTTTGATGCCCTGAAAATAAGCTTAAAATTGGAACAAACTACATAAATTTGATATGATGATTTTTTGCATTCCTAAATTAACTTACAAAATCTATGATAATTCTTTTTGAATTTTTATTTTAGTGATTTTTAGTGATGTCGTGGAAAAGCAGCGTATCAAAGCAGTGAAAATGTAGATGCTGAATGATCATTTTATAATTTTGCTGCTTGTTTTACAGTTTATATTGTAAAAGTACATTAAAAGTATTCTGTCTTAAGTGAAAATGATTATGAACATATATACATACAATTATGATATGTAAATACAATTAATGTGATGTTAGACACATTCTTTAAATATGATTGTTTTTTATATAAATAATTTTTCACTTACGTCTTGTATGGATATCTCAGAAACTCTTCACAGTAATTGAGATCTCTTTTTATATTTCCGATAAATTTGGCTAAAATGCTGACAGTTTTATGTGTCCCAAAAGGATTGTCAGTCGTGTTATACATGAAACAGTAAGTGATTTATTTATTTATTTTTTTTTGGTCAGTGGTGTTAGTCATTGGTATTGTTCAGTGTACCAGAATACATTTTACAGTTAAAATGTCAACATATCTCATTTGCCCCTGTAGTGGCAGAATGACCCAAAAAACTGAACAGTGTATGATCATACATTTATGGTAATCAGTAGTTTGACATGGTTAAAGATTGAGCTGCATTATTTTGATCAAACTGATTTTATTTTTGTTAGATGGAGTACTCCATTGCATCAGAACACCCACAGAAAGCCTGTAACTATGATTGGTCAAGATGGCAAGAGTAAAAACATTGTGGTTAAAGCACTTATTTGCATACTGCAGCCTTCTCTGATGTCAGTGTGACAAAAGCCAGTATTGTCATAATCATTAATGGACAATGTGTTATGCAGCCCTACTTGAGTGTGTTATAATTACATACATACACAAAACAGCAACAGTGACATACGAGTAATAATCCACTTGTTTCTTTTCCCTCCTTCAGCACCTCCACCTCCTCCATCACGTGGTGGTCCACCTCCCCCACCCCCTCCACACACTTCTGGACCTCCTCCTCCACCTCCCCCTGCCCGTGGACGAGGGGCCCCACCGCCCCCTCCACCTTCCAGGGCCCCAACATCTGCACCTCCTCCCCCTCCACCATCACGACAAGGCATGGGAGCCCCTCCACCCCCACCTCCAAGCAGAGGGCACCCACCTCCCCCTCCTCCTGCTCATGCCAGCATGCCACCCCAAGCTCCCCAATCTCATCCTCCACCCCCACCCCCTCCACCATCTGGAGGAAGCGCTCCTCCACCTCCTCCTCCTCCCCCACCTCCCCCTGGACCTCCACCCCCACCCGACATGGATGGCAGTGGGGAGTCAGTGCCTTCTCCTGTGGGGGGTAAATCAGCCCTGCTGGAGCAGATCAGAGAGGGCACTCAGCTGAGGAAGGTGGAGCAGAACAACAGGCCAGTGTCGTCCACGGGGCGCGACGCACTCCTTGACCAGATCCGACAGGGCATTCAGCTCAAAACGGTGAGCACTTTATGCTTCATTCTGAATGTTGCTGTTTTTCAACATCCAAATGCATGAACACATCGAAGACCATCTAAACAGAAGCCTGCACAAGTTGTCGTTATTTCATTCACCGATTGTAAAAGGAAAAAAAATGTTATTGAATTGTTGAAAATATTCGACATCTAATTTTAATCTCTACAAATCAAATAAATGCATTTATTGAAGCAGACTTGTTAAAACAAATATGTGTGATTATTTAAACACACATTCCAACTTCAGAGCCTGAGGCAGCTTGGTCAGCATTCACATGGCTAACTATAGAAGGAATGCAGATGAGAGATATTTACAAACCACTACTCAGACATTGCTGATCATAAGTAAACCAAACAACAGTTATATATTTCAGTCTGACAAGCCAGCACTTTATATATGGATTACTCTGTACAGTAGACGGTAATCGCAGTGCTGATACACACAGAAGATGGCGAAGTTGGCGAAAAGTGTTGCTGTTCAACCACGCCATTTAGACTGCTTTAACTCAGTGTGTTTGCATCTTAGCTCACCCACCAGTCACTCTCCGTTTACTCCTAAATAGACTGATATTATTATGATGATGAAGTGTCATGCAGGCTGTACTGAACTTGAACTCGCAAAATGCAAAAGCTGATCTGAGGCTGCAGTTTCCCTTAATGGCATCTCCTCCTCATACACAGAGCAGCAGTGAAGCTGTTGCCTCAGTAGCACTTTTGTGAGAAATAGTAAATATTTTATGAAAAATCATTCTCAAAATGTTTTCCAAAATGTAGGCTGTTTTTCTTTCTTTCAACAACAACCCTGTCACCCCCCAACACCCATAATTCTCACGAGCCTCTAGGTGTCTAGATATTGCAAATATTTCCTCTATAAGAAGTGTTCTATAGACACATACTTTTGCTAAGCTAATATTTCTGATATTTTTAATGTATTTACATTATATTTATTATTTTATGTTTGTATTTAAGAAGCTTAAATCGCTGAATCAAATCACAGTGATGACTGAAATCTTGCTTAATTTACAGAAATCACTTTCGAATCGAAACAGAAACCAAAAAAGTGTGAATCGGTTTGCTGTCAGCTCAATGATTCACACATCTGTGCTATAAAAATGTTCTTATAAGTGCAATAAAGTGCTTAATATGTTAATGTTCCTCTAATATTGAGTTATCCGACCACCTAGTAGTAAATCCATCGAATGCAGAACATCTAAAAAAAAATAATTAAACAAAGAAATGTAACAAAAGCTGTAGTGAACAGGAAAATAGAATTGCTCAAGATTGTTTACACAGGGAAGAATAAAACCTGCTGGATTTTAAGGCAAGTGCAAGACGGTTAGTGCATGTTACACATTAACATACAATTTAAAATAAAAAAAATAAAAATTACTTTTCTTTTTTCCTTTTTATCCAGGTATCAGAAAGTTCTGACTCGGGCCCACCAACTCCGGCTCCCTCGTCGGGCATAGTTGGAGCACTAATGGAGGTGATGCAGAAGAGGAGCAAAGCCATCCATTCCTCAGGTAAGAGTGGTCACTACAGTCATCTGTGATTTGGCTCTTTATGCCCACATGTTCCAGGCTTGAACCTTAACCGGTCTTAATGAGGAAAAAACATATCTGCAACCATACTAAAGTCAATTAATTGAGCTTTACTTATATTACAAGTGGCCTTTAGGGAGAAACCACTAGTAAAATCAAACATTCACATTAGGTGTTATGAAATTACACACATAAAGGAATGCAACAGAAAGAATCATAAAATAATAATGAAAGAAAAGCTAAATAATAAATATCAAGCACTATAAATCTTGGTAGATAATAGTATCTCTATAGATTTCAGTGCTATACCAAGACCACTAGGGGGAGACTGCAACTTTTGTTGCTAGAGGTTGATGACAGTGGAAAGGCGAGGAGTAAAAACAGAACTTTTGACATTGTTCAGTTATTAGATTTGAGTGAAACTGGAGCTTCATGAAGCTGCAAATAATGCAACAAATTATTGTCTGTAAGTGATAATTACTATATTGAACCTGGGGAGCACTGCGTTTTGCTTCAATTTAATGTATTCACACCCAACATATAACCAGCCTTTTAACTGCAAAACATGTTATCTTGTATCTGTTACCTTATAGAAATATTATTTGCATGTGCCGTAGAGTAAATAGTTCAGTAATAGAATCTTGAATAATATGGTAAAACAATTTCTTTCGGTCCCCAGATGAAGATGAGGATGATGACGAGGATGAAGACTTTGAGGACGATGATGAATGGGATGATTAGTCCTTGTCTCCTTATGCTAACCCCACTGAGTAGAATAATTGACACTAAATTCTCACCTTTCCAAATTGTACTCAAATTCTGTACATGTTCTTTCAAATCGCTGTATATTTTTGTTGCCTTTTTTTTTTTAATAATTTGTGCAATACCTCATATAATCTGTAAAGTATTGTCATGTATCCTATGTAAAGTAATCTCCTGGAATAACCATGTGAAGTTTAAAGCCAGGATGGGTTTTCTTGACTTGTTGATTTGAATGTTTTTGTTCCCTCGTTGATGAGGAAAGGGAGATGGACAGGATCCTCTACGTTCTTGTTAATTGTTGATTAATGATTGAAAACGCTATTTTCATACCCTACTTTTCTGTACCTTCGATTTTCTTATTCAAATCCTAGTTTAGCACTCTACGTTTTGGTAAGAGGTTCTTCTATCAGAATATTTAATCCCTCCACCCACCCACCCACTTCTGTATCGTTACTATGTAAATGTACACTAGGCTGATATACTACAGTTGTTCTGTTTTGCACGGATGTCAAAATGAAGGTCACTACAAGACGACACTACATTTGTTGCATTCTCACCAGTTATTCCCTGTGATTCTTCTTGCAAGGATAAGGTTTCACTTAGACTGCACGTCACACAATAGACAGTTTTGAGGTTTTTTTTTTTCATTTCTTGCTTTATGATATTGAAAAAGATAACGCTGTAGTTTGAACCTGGCAAAGTTGTGAATGCAGCTTGCTTCTGGATATGGTCATCACTGAATCATAGTGATCGTCATGGTGATCATTCCCCAATAACAGGTTTTTATTAAAGTCATATCATGAATAAAGCACTACACAAAGCATTCAATGAATTTAAACCATTTACTAGAAGCTTTTAAAAAGCCAATGCTTGACTGACAACTACATGCAAGGTAAACCCAAGGTAAGAACCTCTGTGTAGCAATTAATGCTGTTTTAACAGTGTTTGAGTTTCGCTGTCCTTCAAGGATTGTGCTGCATTAAAACGATAAAACTGACTTCAAACCTTACAAATGGGTTGGAATGTGGAATGAAAACATTAAATTGTATACTTAAATAAATGATAATATTGGTTCATTTTCTCAGTCATTTGTGGTGCCTTGAAGTTGATTGTGTCAAGTAGAAAATTATATCAAAACCATGTATCTCCATTGTTTGTACATCATTTCAGCACAACAGCTACTCTTTACATTGTGTGGACATTTCACGAATAGACCAATAGAAATGTTCTAAAAATCTCATTTGGAGTTTTGCATCTTGTTAATATGTCTTTGATAAACATAAAACTTTGAAATTGCTCATTATATAAGTACATCCAGGCCACAAAATGCAAAAAAATCAACAGGCTTAATGTGTCAGGTGGCGTGAGTTATTGTTCACTCATTATTTTTCATCTTTTCCACTATTATTGAAAATGACCTTCCATATGCCATATACCTGGCTTCTTCCAAATCTGCAGTGGCCTAATGCCGTAGTTCTGTTATAATCGAGTCCCAGTATTCAAAGAAATGTATGCACTAGTGTTATTTTTAGGATCACCAAAGAAGGTGCAGCAAAATATTTAAACATTACACTTTTTCATTGATTAAAAAAAAAGATTAGTCTTAATGTAATTTATATTCAATGCCACTGAAAACGAGTTTGTGTGTGAGAGACCATCTTTGTTGAGCGTCTTGCTAATGTTGCATCATGAACACTGATGTAGGACTTTAACCTGCAAGAAAGAAGATTTACATGTTACTCATTTCTTACAGACTACTGTATTTTTACAATGAACCTGAGGAATTTAGTGTGAGCATCCAGTAATACACTATATGTCCAAAAGTATCCAGGCATTCATTCTGATTAGTAAATTCCACCACTTTAAGGTGCTCCAATTGCTGACACAGGCATTCAACTGCCCACAGAACTTGTATGATCTCCGTATTAAAAAAATTGCCAATAGAACTTGACACTGCAGCAGCTACACATAAGCTCAAGTTAATATGCCTAATAACCAAGCTTCAGCTTGGGGTTATAAACCCTCCCCAGCGTTGGGCTGTGGAGCAGAGGAACTGTGTTCTCTTGAGTGATGGAGCTCCATCCAATACCTTTGAGATGAGCTGGAGTGATGCTTGTGATCCAAAAAGAATCATTCAATATCAGTACCTGACCTTACTAATGCTCTTGTGGCTAAATGCAATCAAATCCTTACAGTAATCTTTCAACATCTAGCATAAACCCCTCCCTGACGTGTAGACTGTCTGGGAACAAACTCCCTAATAATATCCATGTTTTTATTTATTTATTTATTTTTCTTTCTTTTTCAGAAGAAACACTGAATGAGCAGGTGTCTAAACTTTTGGACACATAATGTATGTGTAGTAGCCTGTCTACTGACTATGTGACATCTTACGAATCACGTTTGTATTCTGTAGTTCAGGCTCACGAATGTTGGTGTTTTTGCTACCACATCACCAGTACTAATATCTTTGCTTAAGTGGGCATTTATGTGAGGCTTTGCTTTAAATGATTTGTACAAAAGTTGAATGCTTACCTTTGTGAGTGTTGTCATGCGGCTGCTACGGATTGCTGCCATGAGATCACCGTGTACTGACCGCTGACCATTTCTGTCTTCCTGGTTTTTCCTGGATGGTGGTTTTAGTGCATGTTTCACATCCTTGTAGAGATCTCCACTCTCTCTTTCCTTTGTCTGGTTCCACATCTTTGTGTTTTGTTTGTTTTGGCCTTGATTATCTGCTGTGATCTCCTCCTGTGATTTTACTATTTCAGCAATCTTTCTGCTGGGCACATTCTTCTCTTTTTGCACGTGGGCTAGCTGTGGTTTAGGTTTAGGAAGGGAATTGCGCTCCTGCCCTTGGGAAGATGTGACCAATCTCTTGTCAGGTGTGTTTTGGGGGTTTGAAGTTCCATTTTTTATAGTATGACTTGTTTGATCTATTGTTTCTTCTGTCTTTTCTGACTGTCTTCGTAACTGCAGTCGTGTTTGTCTCTGGCGGTCCTGGTTGCGGGTCAGGATGCTGGTTGCACTCATCCTGGGGCCTGGCAGGTCAAACTGGTATCCCAGCTTTAGTAGGGTGGTGTTCTCTCTTAGAAGATTTACCATCTCCATCTCCACCTGGCCTCCACAGATGTGCCGCTGGTTGTGGAAGCGGAGCTCTACAAGGCTGGTGTTCTGCTGGAGAGACCTGAGCAAGGCCAAGATTCCTCTTCCTGAGATAAAGTTGGATTCAATGTTAAGGCTGGTGATGTAGTAGTTCTTCTTTATGGTGTTGGCCAAGGCAAAGGCTACCTGGTCATCTGCGTGGGTGTTGGCAAGGCTGAAGACCCGAACATGCGTGTTGGAGGTCAAAGCCTCCGCAAAACTAATCAGCATCTGCTGGGAAATGTTGTCAATGTTATTCAGGTTGACCTCACTCACAGATTCATCATTCTTCAGGATCTTCTCCAGGATCCCATCAGTATCAGTGGAATTCTTGCTCGCTCCCTCTGGGATCACATTAAAGTTTGAGTCTACTTGACGGATGTCTCTTCTTGTCCTGCCGAGTTTGCCTCTGCAGTTGCCGTTGCTGCCCGTATTCCTGCAGTCTGGTTGAGATGACTTGATAAACATCTGGTTGCAGTTCTTCACTTTTTTTAAATTTCCATGTCTTTTATTTTGTGGTTCCTCCTCCTCTTGGTTGTTGAGAAGACTCTGTGTCCCTGGAGAGGCCTCAGTGTCACTCTCACTTAAACATTCCTCTTCACTCTTATCTGTCTGGCTCTCATCCATGTTCTCCTGTGTACCATCATGGAATGGAAAATGAGGTTGAGCCCTGGCATACTTCCCACCCTGAGACCTAATGAGGAATACCCCATCAACCCCCCTAATGCTGCTGTCAGTCACTCTGAAATAAAGTATCTTGGCTACTTTATCCCTGACTTGAACTGTAGGGTTAAAGAATGGGGCACTTGTAGTTTAACAGTTTAACACCCTGCATTTCAAAATGTTCAAATAGAAGTTTAATCTTTCCAAATAAAAACTTTGTGTTACTACTTGCATAGTTAAGTTCAAAGCTCTGTTTTTTTATCTTGAGATGATCTTTAAATGGCCTAAAGTTTGAAGATAAGAACAACTTGTCACAAATTGAATGTCATATAAACAGTGATATAGTACCCTGCTACATTCTATTTGTGTTTTTTAGTATGCTGTTAAATATGTGTGCAGTGTATCATGTTATATGTTTATGACAGTAGCCTTACACAGCCCCACACATATCAGCACGCAACTATGTATTTATTTCTTGTTAGCTGCTCTGCATTACTTGTCGCTGGTTTTCAAATCACACATTAAAACATAGCTGATTGCCATTTATGAAAATATTTTCAATATCTCTCTTTAAAACATTTCCAAAACTTTTTCCTCACCTTACCAGATCGTGATTTTCACAGCTCTTGACAAAATGGATGAACGTTGAGAGAAATTGTTTTTATGTGGCATTTTGTTTACTGCACTGACCCATAATTTAACACTGTGCCAACCAGCCCCTGTGCTAACCAACTCTGTTGTCCTTTGTTTTTATGGATTAAAGGAGAATTCCACCAATATTTCAAATTTCTGCATATTTTAGTTGTTGAGCTGTTGAGCAAACAAAGTCATACAGAATGTTCTGATGTAAAGTGACTCATTAAGGGGCAACTTTCTCAGATTTCCTTAGAGTGGTGGTGTTAGGAATTGTTAGGAAAGGTTGCAATGTTTGCAGCACAAATATAGACATTTTCCACAATGACCAGTGAACCTCCACGTGTCTTCTTAGTTTTTACATGTAATGTTGATATTGGTATAATAAAAAATATAAAAAAAAATTGTGGGCTATTTTGCTGCAATTCCCTGCATGTACCTCTCTGCCATAAATGAATTTTTGAGAAATACATTTTAAGCCAAAACCTTCTCAAAACTAACATATTCATAACTATTTCATGTAAGAACTTTCAGTGAGGGAGCTTTTAGAAGCGTTAAACTCTTTAGATGTCTGGTTCCTATCACCACCACTGTGAAAAATTCTGACTGAGTAAGTTTCTCTAAAACACTGCATTTCAGATCAAACCCATCAGAATGACTTTATTTACATCTTAACCATTTAATTATGCTGAAATTTCTTTAAGAAAACTTTCAGTATGAGGTCCTATTACTTGTGCATACCTGCATCACTTCAGTATAGCCTCTTTTTAGCTACCACTCACCTGTTGATGGACATATTCTGACCTTTCCGTCTCGAGCAGTTTGTGAGTGTCATTCTGCCAGTGCTTCAGCAGAGCTTCCCTGCAGAAAGTTCCTGTCGGCTGCTTGGCCGTTTGATCCCTCTGCCTCAGTCCAATGGGAGTGTTTTCATCTGGATCGATGTCAGCCATTTCTCTTTCCAGTTCCTGTAGCTCTTCGTTGGTGAGGGTGGCCAAAAGTTCATCCTCATCCACATCTTCGTATTTATGAAGCTCCTTTCTGTACCCAAAACTGCTCATAGTACTAACAGTATTGGTTTGCTCTCCTCTGAATGCGTCTAATAGCTCTGAGAGTTTGTGTGAGGAAACCACACCCTGCACTGGGATATAAGTGTGTGTCAGAGCCAGAAAAGCCCACTGTTAATCTAATCTATGAGCCCACTAAAGGAGATTAAGGGAGGGGATGCAGAATAAATTGTCGTCTCCATGTGATGAAATGGGGGAGGAGGATAGGGTTTCATAAAGACCGTGAACCCATTTAGTTATGGTCAACAGCTGATAAGTGAGAAAAACATTTTAGCTAGGCCTCACAGAGACATCAAAGAACAATCTAAACTGTACTGTGAGTGGCACATATTGTATGGCTTTAGATGGAACTGCTGTCATTTTGGTGGTCTTAACTCTTGGAACATTACGCTGCAGTGTCTTTGACCAAATATTCACTTCATATCTGTGAATAAATGACTTTGGGCTGAATGGAACTGCAAGCTAGCAGAAAATTACTCTTGAGTTACTAGCACAGTGTTGCTTTGAAGGCTGAAAAGTTTGGGCACCCTGGTCAAATGACATGTTAAAATACACAATTACTGTTTATTTGGTGAATTCATATGTTTATTTTATTTTATTTTTTCAATATGTTAAGCTCAAGCTCAAGCAAGTGAATAGAAACTGTGCACCAGAATGTGCAGAAAAATGCCATATGTAAGTTTGTTCTCCGTAGAGGATTCTTATACTTATTTTTACTTAGAAAATCAACCAAACAATTTGACTGGGGGTTCAAACTTTTACATGTGACTGTGCACATCAGTAAAAGTATGAGTAATTTGTCATAATCTTACTCAGTTAAAAGTGGAAGTATGGAGCCAAATATGTACTTGAAAAACATTTAGAAGTATCAGTAGGTATCAACTTAAAATATACAAGTAAACAAGTATCAACTGAAGCATGTCATTTTACATGTAAATATTTTACCAAATAAATTAGAAGTTGTTTGTCTTTGTTGATTGTTGTGACTTGTCAGTGGTATTAGTTCTAGGTACTAGGTGGTACAAAGACAAATTAGCATAGTTGTGGGAAGTATAATTTTACCATGATATGATTTTGGTTGTGGTGGTACTGTCGCCTTACAGCAAGAAGGGCCTGGGTTTGATTCCTCGACCGGGCCCAGCGGGTCCTTTCTGTGTGGAGTTTGCATGTGTTTGTTTGGATATTTTAATAAAAAAAAATAATTCAAACAGGTAATGAGTACTTTGAAGGTCTCAATGAAATTACAAGTTTTGTCCTCTGCAAAATAAACAAGTGTAAAAGAATAAGTATTTATTTTCAATAAAAAAGTACAGATCTTCCCAAACAATATTTAAGTACAGTAACAAAGTTTAATTACTCAAGTATTTTCCACTCCTGGATATCAGACATATTATTCAATATCTTAATCATGATTATATGAGGGAAAATGGGAGAAACACTCAGACTATCACGATGACATCACTCATCGTGATGAGAGAGTGTTTGAGACTCTGACTTTGGGTCATTGATCAATGTGAACCAATTCAGGCCAAACCTCCATATGAAATGATCTCAGTAGATTGTTCAGAACCCACCTTCAGATCATGAGTTACATGGTGAGCCAAGAAATATTTTTCTGCCAGCTTACTGTGCATGTTTGCTGATGTCAACGGCTCATTGAGTTATTAATAGTTACAGCAGTGCTGCTTTCATTTTTAAAAAGCAGATCATTCCCTGCAGACTGAAGAGTATGACTGTATTGTGTCAAACTGCCACATACACACAGCTCACGGACATGCTTCACAGCTCTTTATTGACAAAAACATGGAGTCGATTATTTACAGTCTAAGTCGGGCAACAAAAAGTCTAACAATTTCCAAACATCTATGAAACAGTGCACATTCTGGTCACTCTTCAGATTTAGCACCAAGAACATATAATCCTTTACACATGTTCACCTTTAAGACTATTTGTGAAATAAGAGTTCTACTTATGCTCTTTGAACCAACAAAGTGACAACAATATACATACAAAGACAGTTTAGTGTTGTATCTACTCTGCTGATGATCTAATTCAGTGCATCTGCAGTACAGTTTACATATCAGCTGCTCATTTAGTATCTTTAGAGATACTAGAGAGAAAATGATCAGTCATCTAGACTCTGCCGTACAGGTCGTACTCCTTATACATCAGGAAGCCCTGAAGTCCAGGTGGGAAAGGAGCAGAGCTGAAGTTGGCTGGGTCACCCAGTCGCTTTGGAGTCATTCTTCTCCTGATCTCCAGTCTGCACATGTGCTTCAGCGCACGAGGATTTCCTGGAGTTCACACACAGAAAGAGACATGAACTGCAGCTGAGGGTTTTTACGTTAAGCTGTTGTAAGCAGTGCATCATTTTAAAGGAATGACTCAGCCAAACACACTAACAATGAAGGGTAACAGCCACCAATTACCATGACTGCATTTACATAATGATAATGGGTTGCTGTTTACTTTCATTTATTGTTAGTATCATTTATTGTGAATTTGCCTTTCTGTAAGGGCTCATATCCTACATGTTTCTTGTATTTTATTATTTTATTATTTTATTGTGTCGTATTTTGTAGAGGTCCCATGATGTCTGTGTGGTTTTATGAACCAAACCAGTAATAATTTCTCTTAATTACATGTTTTGAATTAATCCTTCTTATTATATATGTATTAAGTATCATTTTTACGTGACCATTTTTAACCTCTCTTTATGCCTGAGAATTAAATAGGCTGTTTTGTCACAATACATTTAAGACTGATCTAAACCACCAAAGTTTGAAATCACTCTTCAAAAGTTTAGAATCAATGTTTTCAATAACGAAAATTAATACGATAATTAATATGAAACCAATTTTGTTGTAGATAAATGTATAAAATGATCCTAATATGGTAGCCCTGTGCAACTTCACAGGTTTTTGGTAATAAGTAGTAGAAGCTGCAAATGAAAATTAAGTATAGTTGTGCCCAGAAAGATGAACAGAGCTGTAGATTAATCTAAAATTAGTGAGAAAGCTGCATAGCATAGTGATCTAATTTATTACAATTAATTAATGTAATTAATATCCAAATTCTTCATATTTCAAAAATGGCAATCAAATCTCAAAGCAGATAACCAGACATAAAATGAATGTAAATAGATAATTACAGTATATTATTTATCATTTAATAATTTATTATAAACAGAATTGCTGAAATATTTAATAATGCATTTAAAGATACATTCTGATGAATAATTTGTAAGGTTTAAATCCACACTGCATTAGTTATTCTTGTAGTAAAATAACAAAAAGCTTGTTACAATGGAAAGTGATACCAAACATTTGAACAGTAGTTTATGTAAATAAGCTTCATTCTGACTGGCTGCTTTCAGAAAGCAGTCCAGGCTGAAACGCTCCTTATAACTTCAGTGTGATTGGGTGGGGCTAAACTGATGAAAAGGTGGATATATGAAAATGAGTTGGTTTTCATGACATCACAGAAACAATGAACAATTAACTACAGGCGTAGTTTCCATATATGGACTGTGTGGACTGAGGAGTGAACAATACACTTTGAAACTAGCAGTGTTTACCTACTGCATTAGTTATCAAGTTTTTTTTTTCAAAACTGTGAAGACATTTTGGTTTCCATGATAAGAGCCCTTAAAATGTTATCCAAAACAAACAAAGTGCAAAATTTGTGTCATAGTTTTGATTGTTCACCTAAGATGTCACAGATTTCTGGCCATTCTTTGTGCTTCTCCAGAACCATTTTCAGCTTTGAGCAGATGGGGACGTAGCAGACATAGTCCAGAAGAACCTGCACAGCTCTTCCTGCATACTGCACCAGCCACGAGACACTGATGAAGTCACAAAACTGCACACAAGACGAGACGGAGATGGAGGGTGAACTTAATAATATAAACAGGATTCTATTAGTAGTGAACCAGACTATAAACTCACAGGGATCTTTTCAGTTGTATTGTCTGAGTGATGACTATTGTTGCTCCATGAGTCATGAAGACAGCTGAAGCATTTTTCTGCATCATAGCCGCAGTTCAGCAGCATTCGCATCATCATCTCGTCCCTGAGGCAGTACTGTAGCGCTGTGGGAACGCTGTGTCACTGACTGCTGTGAAGTAGCAGTTCACATCAGCCTGGCTGGCCAAGAGCAGCTTGACTATCTCATATCTCCCAGCTCTCACTGCCACTAGGAGGCAGCTCAGGGGATCCAGGTCAGGTTTAGCACCAGCATTCAGCAACAGCTCAGCACAAGTGATGTCTCCATTGGAGACAGCGAAGAACAAGGGGCTTCTCCTCATGTCCCCATAATTTTCAGATATGTGCTGGTCTAGAAGAGCATTGACATCAAAGCCTTTCTCCAGGAGAAGTTCAAGGCACTGGACATGGCCACCATCTGCTGCTGAGTGCACTGGGCTCTGGCCAGAAAGTCTGAGGGCCCTTCTTGTGGTAATAGGAATCAACATTTTCAAGACCCTAAAGATAATAAAAAGGTTATGGACATTCCTTATGTACATTCTTTAAAGTAATGGCACCATTGGAGTGGTCCTTTGGAGTGATGAAGAATCACTCCTTATCAAAACTTTCAGTGGACAGTTCTTCTAACATTTAACCATAATGAAGAATCAGATATTGTTGCAGAAAGTGACAGTTAAACTTCTCTCTGAGGTACTCACAGATAGTGCCCTTCATAAGCTGCTCGATGGATAGGAAGCTGTGAGGAGAGATTAGGGATATTTGGATTGGCCCCATTTTGAATGAGAAGGTCGACACAGTCGGGATTACCAGAGCCAGCAGCATCATACAGAACACTGTCACCATTCGGTGCCTGAACATTCACATCAGCACCTGTTGGTGTGGAAAGAAAATACTGCCATCAGTTCAGAGTTGGATACTTCCATATTTCTTAGCAAATGAGCCATAAAACGAAAATCTAATTTACACAGGTTTCCTCATACTCCAAATGTAATCTGTAGAAATCTTCTTTACCTGATTTCTGACACTATATGACATATAGTACTGTGCAAAAGTCAAAGACCACCATTTCATTTATTCCCAGTCAAAATGGCCATTATGTATGTAGGTTATTCATTTTTCAAAAATTAACAGACAATGACATAGAATCCTGAACAACCAAATGTAATATCAGATGTTTCTGTATTTATTGTGTCCACTCTTTGCCTTTATTACAGGTTCCATTCTTTTCAGGAGACTTGCTTTCAGTCCAAAAACCTGCAAGAATATTTTTTCCACATCTTCAAAGTTCAGTGAGAAGTTGGTTGCATTTTCTGCTTCTCATGATTCACGTAATCTCAAACACATTCAGTGGTGTTGAGGTCTGGACTCTGGGGTGGTCAGTCTATAGTTCTGAACACCAGCAGCTTCTTTGATTGATTTGCAAATTTTCTTCTTTTTTATTTATTTTCATTTCTCAGTAACACCTTAGGAGTCCCATTTTCTCTCAATCTTTTAATAATCATTTGAACTGCAGTTTTGGAAGCTCCTGTTTTTCACCTTTTCTTTTGACTTTCTCCTCCTTTATGCAAGTACATTATCTTATATCAAATCTCTTCAGATGAAGCTCCTGAAAATTAACTTGTATTTAATGGTCATGTGACTGAAAATTAAATAAATAATCTGTAGTCTATGACTTTTGCACAGTACTGGACTTTTATTAAAAGGTAAAAAATAATGTGGCTAAAAAAGTCTTATAGTGTCAGAAACCACATACGCAAGTTTACTTGAGATTATGTAACAACTCTTTGTGGTCTGAGGCAAGTGTTTGATGATTCAGGCTTATGGTCTGCACAATGCTAATTGGTGGGATATAAGCTTCCTCTATCTGTTAGCAACATTAGCTTTGTAGCTCTAGTTTTACAGCACAAAACTAAAAAAGCAAACTTCAGACACCAAGCACATCATGGCTGAGTGACTACATTTTGTGGTAAGAGATTTTCATTTTGTGAATATTACCATTGTGAATGAGGATATCTAGCACTTCTGCCTGGGCATACTCTGCAGCGATGCCCATCGGGGTCACCCCACTCTGGTCTGTCTCTGAGACTTGGCCTCCGTGCTCCAGTAAAAGCTTGAGGATGTCAATGCTGCCCACTTTAGCAGCCTCGTGCATGGCTGTCCACTTCTTCAGGCAGACTTGGTTCACCCGTGCGCCTCGTGTTAAAAGTGCTAATACAATATCATACGCGTCTGTCTTACAGCTGCAACAGAACACACAGACAATATTTTAGAGTATTAATAGGGTGTAGATCATCTGTCTTTTACCTGTCATCCTGTGTTTCAATGTTCATGATTGTCTGGCTGGAAAATACAGATTAAAAAGCACTGGGTACCCAGCAGCAGAGGAGATTCATTCTTCCGATTGGTTCTGTGAGGAGAAGCTCCGTGTGCCAGCAAAGTCCGAACAATCTCCACCAGTCCAGCTTGAATAGCCAGAGTCAGAGGAGTCTCCCCATCTTCTGTTTCCTCATCAAGACTCAGCCTGTAAGAAGCTGGCAAACGAATTACTAGGAAGCCACTGGGTTATTCCATGCCAACTCACTTCAGGCCTGGCAGGTCACATCACGGATTGCCACAGAAAATATCAGGCATCTATTTTATTCATAAAACCATGTAAAATCTGTGCTCCAAATAGTTTATTAGCCATGACGTACAGTTTGTTCCAAGTTCTAAATAACAAATATTGAGTTTATCTGCTTACAGAATAATTAAACTAGGTAAGGTAAAGTTTGAATTGGGTATAAATACAACACTAAGGGCCATGGATTAAGCCTAGTCCATGTCTAAATTGCAGTGCTAAATTGCAGTGTTTAATATTTTCTGACAACACATTCATTAACGGAAGGGTGTATTTTTGATCATCCTCCTCCTCCAAATGTGTTAAGCAGGTAAGCATCCAGCTCCAAGCATGTTGAGCAGGTAAGCATTTCCTCCAAACGAATTGAGCAGGTAAGCATTCTCCTCCAAATGTGTTGAGCAGGTAAGCATTCTCCTCCAAATGTGTTAAGCGGGTAAGCATTCTCCTCCAAGCATGTTGAGCAGGTAAGCATTGTCCTCCAAATGTGTTGAGCAGGTAATCATCCTCCTCCAAATGGGTTGAGCAGATAAGCATTTCCTCCAAATGCATTGAGCAGGTAAGCACCCTCCTCCAAACACATTGAGCAGGTAAGCATCCTCCTCCAAACGCATTGAGCAGGTAAGCATTCTCCTCCAAATGCATTGAGCAGGTAAGCATTCTCCTCCAAACGCATTGAGCAGGTAAGCATTCTCCTCCAAATGCGTTGAGCAGGTAAGCATTGTCCTCCAAGTGCGTTGAGCAGGTAAGCATTGTCCTCCAAGCGTGTTGAGCAGTCCGATGACATTGTGTTAGCAGCAGTTCATAAAAAGTGTGGTGGCACTTCACATTTTAGAGTAAGCACATGTTAGCTTTCACGCTCCCAACTTGGATGAAATTGGCAAAAACTAAATTGGAGAGAAAACTGGGAAAATATATATATATATATATATATATATATATATATATATATATATATATATATATACACTTCAAATAAACTTACCAGTTTAAAGTTTAATTTTCTTTATTAAACTAGTTGATTTAAAGTGACAATACCAATACTCTGTTAAACTTAATATTTATGTGATTTTATAAAGTTTATAACTGAAACTATTTGGAGTACAGCTTTTGCATGGTTGCATCAGGTAGAAGTCTGATGGAAATCCGTGATGTGACCTATGATCAGGCTATAAGTGAATTGGCATGAAATAACCCCATTACAACTGAGCATAGGATTAGGACAACGTGTAGCTGTGAGATAATTACAGAAGAACTCTGTAATCTCTGGCTATTGCTGACCTCAATCACTTTCTTTGATTGTGCCTATGTACCTGTAACAGCTTTGTAGCTTACCATAGAGCACCATCTCAAGCACTTGGACTGACTGTTGTACTGCTGCTCTGTGGAGAGGGTACCAGCCTTTAGCGTCCACTTCCGTAAATGCAGCTGGGTAGTCAGACATCTCCTGGAGTGTAAACAGGTCACCTGGGATGAAAAAGACTGATTTTAGACTAGACATATTATTTTCTCATTGAAGCCACAGCTGAACATATTGCAGCTACGCACTGAATATTATGACAGACAAATGAAACAACTGCCTTTTCATGCATGCAGTTTATGCAAATTAATGAATGATGTTTGCAGCTTCACAGCAACCTTTTCCTAGCAAACTTTACCTCTTTTGATCGCATCCAAAATCTTTTGATTTTCCACACTAAAGTTTCAGCATAAAATAAAGGAAATTGTGAAAATGGCATGTACTGATATAAACAATAAGAGAGAATTAGAAAGGATCATTTTTCTCTTTGTTTATTGAATCATACCTTGCTGGGAAATCATTACTGTAGGACTCCTCAAGGCTCAGTTGGATTGCATAGTTAAGAAGCTGCTCGTCCTCGTCCACATCATCTGCAGCATCCATTATTCTGAGAAAAGGGAAGAATATTTTCATATACAAGAGCCTGTAGGTGGGCCTGTACTTACAACTACGTAACTTACATATTATTTTCTGAGTATTTATTTAGTGAATAATTTGTGTTAAAGGGCTCATATCACAGAAAACATAATGTTCCTCGCTTTTTGATCACAGTTTGATGTAGTACAAAAATACTGCTTCAATACATAACATTCACTTCCTAGTCCATAATGAGCTGTATAGTTTTTGTGATGTTACAAAAAACATGACATATATACAACAACAATAACAAGATATATTTCCCTAGTTAGCCCTGCTCATGCTAATGTTTACAAGAAGTGTTTAAAGCCCTGACTGCTTTTTTTTACAAGGCAGCCAATCAGAGCAGAGATCATTCACAGGTATAAGTCTGAAAGGAACAGTAATAAAAAACTCAGTGTAATTCTAAAGGATAAAGAGAGGTTCATGCAAAAATGAATGATTGAATGGTCATGTAAAAAGTGCATTATGGCTGTTTTTGGTGTATAAACACACACAGATGTATAAAATACACTAATGTAGAATGTAGACTGCAGGCCTTTTTGAAATTAGTAACTAAATAGTAAGACAGCAGACAGCAAAAAAATAATAAAATATAAGCTTATTTAGTATTTCACTGTTGTCAGAACAAAACCATGGAGAAGGAAAAAAACTTCTTTACTGTACTGTACTTTTAATGTACGTCAAAGGAACCAGACCAGGTCATTTTGGGCCATTTCTTTTGGTCCTTTCATCATGACATCTACACACAACATAAAGGGTAACAGACATTTTCAAATTATGTCAAAAACCGAAAAAGGACAAAAATGGAGATGCAAGGTTTTGTCCTGACAAAAGCAATTTTAAGAAGTGCCTGCAATTGTCATGTGTCATCATCTTAAATATACAGGCAGTTAATAGAACAACATTTATAGCCTGCCTAAAATGAGCTATGTCTAGAGTCTCTGCATGCTGCTGGCAAGACCATGTCTTGCTCGAAATAACTCTAAAGATGTACTGATCTGGTTCATGTGAGAGCAGAAACGTTAATCACTTTGCAGGGTTTCTGACATAAACTAATGCATTTGAACATTTCTGAATTTGTGCATATCCTGAAAAGGGTTTCAGATGTAAAAATAAATTAAAAAGGCACAACAGTAATAAGTGATGGCTGTGGGAGAATGTCTTGGCTGACCTTAATTTTGCAGTGCTATCTTGTGCAAAAGGGGTGTTCAAACAGTACAATTATGTTTAAATTAGCTCAGCTTTTGCTCACACTGGGTTACTGAAGATTTTGATGCTGGACATTTCCCCTGGAAAAGACAGTATTACTGTATATATTAATAGCAATACCATTTCAATAACTCCAAACAAGCATGGGGCACAGAAAAATCTCCAGTTTTGACAATATACATTAAACAAACACCTGCAGTGTTCATATCAATTCAGCTGGACACAAATACACTCTATAAGAGTAAATTCAACACTTGATATTTTGTTCTAAGCAAAACAATTGCCTCAAATAAAAGGACCCATATGGGTCACAATAAACCAGCTGAGGTCCATTCAATCGCAAACACATACACTAATCTCACCTTTTGAGATATAGTTCCAGTAAAGTCACGGGTCGTGTACTGCTTGGTTTAGCTGTGCCCTATCTAAACTGACTGCCCCCCACCCCGGACACCCTTTCACCACACATCTATTTTTGGCTGTCACCTGCTTTTGGGACTGCCACACACAACACTGAACTCAAGTGTTATGCTTCTGTGTTTGTGTACTTATTTTGGGTAATGATCTACAGAAGTTCATGAACAAATTTTAAATGACATTACTAAGACAAGAGTTTGCACCACACAGTGACTGACAGACCGAAAGGGAGATAACGTTAAGAAGAATGTCCAAAGCAACCTAAAGAGAGCTCTTCATTAGCTCTTCTTTGGTGTTTTTAGGCTTACATGTCAATGTTACTACACATCTTTCTCTTAAAGTAGGTCTTTCACGCACAAACAATGCAAAAATGAATAAAGTCATTATACAAAATTGTCCAGTAAGGTCATCTTGACACGCTGCAAGACAGGTTTTCACTTATTCTTGGTGTTTGCAGTTGCAGGCGCACAGCACAGTCATGACCTCTACCTGTCCACTGTGAAGATGTTGTCAGTGTCATTACTGACCTTATTAAACACCTTTAATGTATATACACGCACACACACATGCACACATTATCTACACTGCTTATCCTTCTGGGTCATTGGGTTGGGGGGGTGGTTGGAGCCTATCCCAGTGGAAGACCAGGTCACCAGTCCATCGCAGGACACCTTTAATGTACAACTAAGTAAATATATAAGCAAACAAACATGTATTATCAAGATATGTGAAAACGATCCTCTAAAGGAACACATGTATTTCATAAATAATCACCTCCAAAAAGTGAATAAAAGGATTTGTGATACACACAGTGGTTTCACTTGTTGAGACAATGACTTTAAATAATGACTTTATGTGCATTACGAAAAAGGATTGTTTTTAAACTGACATTGAGCTCCGACCAGATTGGTGAAGAGCCTTTCTTTGTTATCAGGATTCTCTGAACTCTGTTAGCAATTTTAATAATGTAGGTCAGTCAAGTCTTGACCTAAAAATACCTACTGATACTTGCATGACACTTATATATTCAGCAGGATCATTTGGAAATATTAAGATTACACTTACAGACATCAACCTTCATATGCAGCAAGATGAGCAGAAAGGCGCTGAGAGAAGATCCATTTTTCTAACAGACAGCTGATATAGTCTGTATTGATTGAAGCTGCTGTATCTACCGAAACACTCTTGTCATTGAGTGGCAACATCTGTGGGGCGATCACACCAGTACCAGTAGATTTAGTGGATTTGAAGGTTTGAATTTCATTCACCAGTGCTCTGTACATACATAAGACTCACTCTGTATACTATACACACTTAAAAATGATGGATCTTCAAGGGCTCTTCAGTAAATAAAATGGTTATATAAAGAACCATGAACTTGCAAAGAACCCTTTGCATGATTAAAGGGTTTTTGCACCATGAAAAGGTTCTTTGGATTGACAGAGAATGTTGTAGATGGTTCTTTATAAAACCTTTTTGAAAAAGGTTCTATATATCACCAAACAGGGTTCTTCTACTGTTAGTTTGCCAGGCTTGTAACAATAGCAAAGTTACAGTTAATATGTAAATGTTAAGCTTGTATGTATCATTTTGTTTTTCTGTTCTGTTATAAATGATTATTCGCAATAAAACATTTCTAATTGTGTCTGATCTGTGTGTCTGATCAAGAAAAAGATCTTTAAAGCGGAGCAAACTGCGCTCCAAACTCCAGTGGGCTGGATCACGTGACGGCGCAGTTACCATAGCAGCGCTCAAACACTACGGCCTGCTGAAGCAGAGACAGCGGCAGGTTAGCTGGCTTCATTACTTTTACCCCACAAACTGTTGGATGTCACTTTGCTGCTTAACCTATGTGCGTTAGTTAGATTTATCAGGTACCTCAGACTCAGCTTATGTCAGAGATGGAGGGTGAACACGACAGCGCCTCGGAGTCGGGTGATGTTATGGAGACTGGTGAAAGCTTGAATGTGGAAAGCCTAAAGGTAGATGTCCCGACACAGAGTGCTGACCTTACACAGACAGAGGCCGAGCTGGAGGAATGTACAGAGAGCCAAGAACTGAAAGTGGAGGTTCGCACTTTAAGTACATTACTGACAGCAGGTCAGGAAACACAGCCGGATTCAGCACTGACAGGCCTGAGTCAAGACGGATTCAGCCAGCGTGAAAGTGAAATAATCAGGACTTCTGATAATGTTGGAAACTCAACAGCAACAGGTAAGTTAGCTAGGTTAACAGTTAGGTAACGCTAGCTGCGTTAACCTAAGTATTCTTCACCGGACAGAGTGATAGAGCTAGGAGGAAGGAGCAGCGTCTAATCTTTTAAAAAAGTAAATGCAGTATGTTCACATTAACTCGACTACATTTGGACAGCTTTTGCTTTGTGCTTCAGTGCATTCCCTTCAGTACATTATGCCTAAAAACCTGCCAGTTTAACTGGGCCCACATTATCTGTCTGTAATTGGTCCAATTATACAAACATGCTGGCAGAGTTTTCAATCTGCCTCTTCCTAGCTGACAGTGGAGGTGGAGGAGCTGAAAGCCTGTGTCTTAACCCTTCGAGCTCTCACATTATCACATTTTTCCAGTTAAGATCTTGCTTATGCCAGAGGGGCACATGATGACCATGGCCTTTACTATTGGCCTCACAAGTCAGGACCTGAAGAATCATTTTGCCAGTGAGCTGAGAGTACCATCAGACATTATTCAGATCACACTGAATGGTAAGTTACCTCAACACCTCTCCCTGACAGAAATGCTTGTAGCTAACACCACCAGCCAGCGTGAAATCCACAGAGATGAAGTGTTCATCAATCCATTTCTTTGTACAGCATGTATAATGACCTCTAAACTAAGTCATATATATTGAGTGAATTCATTGCAGAAGATGTGTAAAAGATAAAAATCTGTCTGTGTCGTTTGGTTGTCAGGTCAGGCTGTAGATAACCACCAGACGCTGATGGGCCTGGGAGTGCAGCCACATGGCACGGTCCAGTTTGAGATGAGCTCATTAGACCCTGAGAATTACCCCATCAAACCAGTTAAACCACAGCACGCAGAGTGCAGCATGCCTGATGTCATTACTGTCAGAGTGCAGACAGGTCAGCCTCCGGTTTTAACATTCACTGCAAACATTCTCTATTTGTTTTTCGACGTCTCGCTCAGTTTCTCTGTCACACTCTGTCTGTCTCTTTTTGGCCTCCCCTTCACCCTCAGATGTAAACACTTTTCAGGATGTGGTGGTAGAGATAGAGAGAGCCACGCTAAAGAAGCCTTTCCTGGGAGGATATCGCCACAAGGTCACTAAAACGGAGTATCATCATGCTGCAGTACAGACTATCCCCAGGAGGAGGCCTGATAGAGGAGTGGAGATGTTCAGCAGAGATACACAGGTAAGGTAAAGGTAGCATATATATATATATATATATATATATATATATATATATATATATATATATATATATATACATACATACACACTGGGGTCAGCTTTTCAAAATAATTTTTTTTTTTTATAAACCAGCATATTTTCTTTGTTGGTGTGCAGTCTTTATCTGCCTAATGCTTAAGGGTCTGTATATGGGTCCACATTTCGGGTCCTCACTCTCATTTCTACATAACTACTTTATTAGCTTTATATTAGTTACCAAATAATTTATAGTGAATAACATTAGTTATTGAATAATAAACCTTAAAATTCTAACTAAAATAAGGCTGAGGTACTCAAGGTTAGTGTATTAATAGCTAACCAGTTTTTTTTAAGGAAAACAGGGAAATAATACCACACATTTCATATATCTGTAACAAAAACAACAAAAAATCTCATAAATGCTGTTGGACACAGCTACTGTGAGCAGACATCCCAGACTGCTTAAATGAAGAAAGTGTGTGCACCTGTTATAGCTGCTAATGATGTATTTATTTATTTTGGTTTACTTGTTATAGTTAAATTGTTTTTTAGTTATTGTCACATATATTTGAATGTATGATATGGTTTTCCTCAATATATATATATATTCCAGTATGCAGGCAGCGCTGTCTCCATGATATTTTAAAAACTAGCAAAATGAAAGCAATTTGTTTAAATACTAAGTGCAGCGCTGAAGCCACAACAGCTTTCTCTGCTGGTCTCTGCTGAGGTGGATTTGCTTACTTTGTCTTTTTTTTATTGGTGTTATTTTTTTATTATTTTTATTGGTGCTTTGTTTAATAAAACTAACTCACTACATAGATAACATGGTTAGAACAGTAACTTACTGAAGTTCAATCCGCTCATCATTGGTTTTTCAGGCTCCTGTGTGGAGTCACACTGCTTATAATTTAGTCAAATTAGCTCATTACCAATGATGTAATGAAATGAGTGTTATGAAAATGAAGTGACTCGCAAACAGTGGAAAGCAGGTGTGTTTGGAAACCACACAGACCAGTCCAAAGCTGACATGTTTAAAGTTTATTTGTGGCTTTGGAGCGAGTGGAAAACAGCATGCTGCCTCCTGTCATTGTATGGGGTGTGTTTTAAAAGTCACACAGGCACATTTCTTGACCAAAATACAAACGTACACACTCAAATGCGGCTAGCAACGGTTGCTAAGCACTGCAATTGGAGGGCAGGTAAAAACGGGTGGCTCTTGAGATGGTCTGATTGGCTCAGTCACTGATGCTGGCAGGCTAGTCGCTCCCTTTCTCTGCAGTTCAGCACACGGCTTGTGTTGTAAACTGGATACTGTACAGTATGGTACTGATGAAAAGTAGCGTACAGTATACAGTATTTTGATGAAGTACGCAGTATGCAGTACACAGTATGCTGTTTATGACACAGTCTGTGTTACCTGAGTGCTGAGCTGTGTTTTCATTGAGTGTTTAATTGTGTTTAACTTTAGCCTCTTTCTCTGGTTAAACCTTAGCCTGTTTCTCTGCCTGATGTGACTACAGGTTTTGGAATGCCCTGAATAAAGCTACTCTGCACATGCAGCCTGTCTGCAAGCCTTTTATGTTACACTAACAAAGAAAACATTATTGTTTATTAAAACACTTTCAGAAGCTGCACTCACAAAAGAATGGTTCTTCAATGGTTCTTTAATAAAGGGAATGGTTCTATTTCGAACCATGAGTTCTACATAGAACCATTTCATGCTTAAATGGTTCTTTGCATGGTGAAATGGTTCTTCATATTGATGGAGAATGTGTTGTTTATATATATATATATATATATATATATATATATATATAACCAGTGTATATATAGAATATATATACTGTATAAAGAAGCTTTTTGAAAATGGTTCTATACAGCACAAAAGGCGTTCTTCTACTGTTATAATGTCAAGCTTGTAACAATAGTAGACCTTTTTCGTGCTATACTGTACTATTTTGAAAATTAATAATATAATGGCTGTTTTGACTGTAAATTAAATAAAAGAAGGTCTCAAATATTTGCACATTACTGTGCATATATGCTTAACAGATATGTAGCAGGTTGTGATCAAATTACACACATATCAGGATTAATGAAGCCAATGCTTACGGTGTGTACAGACTGTGAATGTCTCCTTTTCTGATTGCTGTATTTACCTGCAATCTCTTTTCTATAGACAGTGGAGTTGAAGAGCCAGGCTCAACAGTGCACCATCAACACTTCCACTCAGATGACTAAGATTGGCTGCTACGTGTCCAACATGAAGGACAAACTCATCACACCAGGCACCTACGTCACTGCAGATGAGTTTCACGGCAAGAGGCTGAAGGCTGTATGTGTGTGTGTGTGTGTGTGTGTGTGTGTGTGTGTGTGTGTGTGCACTTCTTTCTTCATTCATGATTTTGTTCTTGAGTGTAAGTGTTTGTGTGTATGTTTTCAGGTAATAACGTTACAGACATACTTCAGGCGCTGGCAGGCCATGCAATTGACCGCTCAGCTGAGGCTGGATAAAGAACTGCATCTGGCCTGGGCAGAGAGAGAGGAGAGAAGGAAGATAGAGGAAAAGGAGGAGCAGTTTAGGGCTGAGTACCACAGGAGAATGAACCCAGAGAAAAAAGAAGACTTTGCTCTGCTCTACAGTGCACTAGAAAGTGAGCATTACTGTGTGTGTCACAATTACAGAATCTGAAAGTAACAATCAATTACAGTTTACCTTCTGAACTAATTGGTTGAGAGAGGAAACATACAGTATAGAGTGGGGGTGCCCAAACCATTTTTTTTTGTCTTGGGGTGGACCAAAGGCCAAAAAGACAAAGCAATATACAAATAAAGAAGGAAGGTAAATTTCAAATTTTGATTTTTAAAAATATATTTTAGAACATTATACTATATTTTCTAACTAAAATTCTTAAAAATGCCATTATCAATGAAAAACGCTCTCTCATTGGATGAGGGGATGGGGTTACACTGGAATGCATTATCCGTTTTTATGTGCATGTGTTTTTGCCGCTGTCACTGTATCTGTGTGTCAGAGTGGAGGCAGGAGGAGGTGGCGCGCATTAATGCCTCTCTAAGTGGAGCGGAAAGGAAGGCAGCACTGTGTGCTCTCTTGGAGCAGGAGACACAGTTCATTTCTTCTATCGGATGCCACCGCATTGCTGCAAAAGGGAGGAATCAGGAGAAGGCAGTGCAAGCCTTCCTGGACAAGGTCTGCCTCTCTAAAAGCCAGCTTTATTATATGATGTACAGGCAAGAAATGATGTAAGAACTGTATTTACTAGATGCACATACTGGGCATGGACTGAGTGGGCTAAGTATATTTCCTACATTTCTTTATTTATCTTTTTATGTAAACAGCCACACACCTAGTACTTCAGATAAGTTTAAAGCAAAGGTAAAAAAAATCAAATTTACATCATTTTCCACTTTACATCAAAATGTAGTCAAACGGCCCAGACGTGTTTGCTTCTGTAGTTTTACACTGGAGCTATGAGGCTAATGTAGCTAATTTAAGCCTATACCCCACCTGTTGTCATTGTGCTAACTTGCCTAAAAATGTGTCAACAAACTCACTTATATGGTCTCTGTTACCATATGATATACTGTTGCCTATAAAAGTAGACAAAAGGTGGTGCATAGAAAACAGTAATCAAATCCATTTTGTAACCTGAATTTTATCTATGGTTTTTACCAAGATTCAAGAAGCCACATAAGCAGATCTGCTTGAGAGTAACAACCTGTTTGCAGCAAGAATTCATTGATTTAGGCTTGCAGCTTGCACAAAGCACAGCACAGTCTCGGCTGATCAACTACATTCAGAAAAAAAATTAAAATTTTGCCTTATTTCTGGTGCAGTGTGCAGCCCCTAAGACGTGGCGAGCGTTTGATGGGATTATGACCCAGATGGACACTCCTCACAGTATCAGGGCTAAAGAGCTAAGAGACCTCTACAGTAGCATTAACCTGCAGTACTTCAGCCAGGAGGAGCGCCTCGACGTGCTCCTCACCCTCAAACACACTGTCAAGGTATTCTGCCTTTATTCTTTGGCTTGCATTCTATAGCATGACCATAGCCATGACCCAGTGCTGCTCTATTTCCACTCTCATTATTAGTGATGAGTAGTTATTATGTGCTCTAAATGCTGGCCCAGACTCATTTGCTGTCTGTTTGTATGAACAGGAGCATGACTGTAAGCTGACTCAGCAGATAGTGGAGCTGATTGACAGAGAGGCTGATCTGCTGCGGAGAGGAGTGAAGGAGAGTAACTTAGAGGGGCTGAGGAAGAGGATATCCACCCTCTTTCTCCAGTTCATCAAAACCCCCACTTTCAACCCCCAGGTGGCCAAATTGTTGCGGGTATGTACTCTAGAGATCATTTCTTCCCCACCTTGCAAACAGCACAGAATGGTAGGGAAAAACATCTTTGCTCAGTGCTACTGACTTCTATAATGTATTTAGTGTCACTGTTTTTTTTTCTGTCTGTCTGGCCTGTTTTTTGGGATAACTTTAGTTTTTTCCACTTCACAACAATATGTCAGACTGATTACACTTAACTCCAAAAGGTGTTAAATGCCTTTGAAGTGGCTTTATGTCCTTATCGGTATTATCAAAAAGTTTTTTTGCAGAAAGAGAAACACAAGTGGAGCTGTGACTTTATGAAGTACGTTATTGGATCAGAGATTTAAGCATGCAGGGTCTGATAACTATTTTGAACTTATTATTCTTATATAGGCTACATACATGCGAAACAACCAAAAATCTCTAATGTAGTGGTGCCTATATGCAGGAATAGCGAAGCACCTAGAGATACGCTCTTGGTGTGCGTTTCTGTGTTAAATCTCACATGTGACTGTGGGCCTGACAAAATCGGCACCACATATCAACAATCTGATTGGTCACTGCTCGGTTCATTTGCATAAAATTTGTCCAGAACGAGAAAGCATTATGATGATGTGCATCCATGGTTTCATGGGTCACTTAAATTGATGTATTGTTGTCTCTCGCCTCATTATAGCACCGACACTATAGTTCTGATGTGAATTAGCAAAAAAATAAATAAATAAAAAAGACAAAACATTTTACATCGTTCATGTCACAAACACACTACTTGAAATTTCAGCACCCCCAACTTATAAAACCTTCCTGTGTCACTGCTACAAAGCACTTTCTTTGAACTTACGAAGAAGTGTAAAGCTGGGTCAGACGTTAACACTAAATGCCTCATTCCTTTCCAGAAAACAAATTTTATCTTTATCTTGTTTCTAAATTTCTGTGTAATTGTATCATTTTGATTTAAACAGTCATTCAGAGTGGTTTCATGTGAAATGCTCTTTCTAAAAAAACTTTAGGAGTCAGAATTGTTCACAGTGGTGATGACTGGAACCGGATGTCTGAAGCTTTTAATGCCTCTAAAAGCTCCCTGACACTAAGTTATTAAATGAATTGGTTATGAACACACTGTCTGATGCCCAGGGCTGGGCAACTAATCAAATTTAAGTACATGCAGGGCACTGTAAGGCAAAATATTACCCACAGAAAACGTATTGTTTCAGATTTACCACTACTTTACCATTATTAACGTTGCATATAAAAACTTAGAAGACGTGTGTTATTGTGACTCTGGTTCTCATCACTGCCACTGTAAAGAAATCTGATTTTGTAAGATTCTCTGCAATGAGCCATTTCACATCAAAACACTCTGAATCATTTTGTTTACCGCTCAATTACTGAGTTACTTTAAAAATAGGTAGAACTACCCTTTAATCATTTTAATAAATATCATATTGTATTTATTTTATACATGACTACTTAGCTACATGAATCCAAGACATAAAAGACACTTCTACTACCATTCAAAACCTTTGATTGACTTATCATATATTGCAATTATTTGTTAGTAACATGTAATCAAAGTGTTCAAAAGTGGGGAAAGCACGAGAAATAGGGATCCCTTAGCATGCATCATATACTCACCTATCCAGACAACACCTACACCACTGCGAAAATTCATTTAAATGTTTATCTGCAAAAGGCTAGAGTCAAAGATCAGAGACCAGCAACTCATGCTAACTGAAGAGCAGCTTGATAGCAAAAAAGAGACAACCACAGTCAGAGGCATAATTTGTATGCAGGCCACATAGACCTGTGAAAATGTTGTCAGCCTTTGCAGATGCTTCTGGAATGGCATTTCACTGTAGCTATCGTTGATGAAATTAAAATTGATATTTGTCATTTGATAACTGCTCACTATGGCATTCTCATTAAACCTTTCTCATTAGGCAGTCACAATATGATATCTTTAATAGCATCAATACTGTTGAGCTGAGGGGTTTACACAAAGATACTGTGTAGTTTACATGAGTTCAAGAAACACCTCACTTAACAAAACAGCAGCAGTTGAGCAGCTGATACATTAATCCTGGAAAATGGATACACAATTTAAGCCATAACCCATCACACATCAAACTGTTATGTTCATTAATACATTGAACATGAAATACAGAAATTAAGCTTTCACTGACATTTATTACTGACATCATAGTTCATAAAAGACCATTTCATTGTGTCCAGCACATACAGGAAACACTGGTTTATTTTCCAGCTTTCTTTTCACAGGTGCCACAGGATCCAGCCCAGCTGAGGAAGAACATCTACTTCTGCCGTGGCTGCAGTAACTACCTGCTCTCTACTGAATTCACTCTGACGACTAACACGCAGGTGGTGGGGCTTTGCCGTCGCTGCTCAGAGCTGGACAATGAGGCTCGGCGCAGAGAGGATTTCTCTCATTACAAAACCATCCTTAGATGCCTGCGCAAAGCGGAGGCAAAGTACAGCCCAGATGCCAAAATCACCTACCTGCTACAGGTAGCAAAGAGACCTTCCATGCACAGATCATAAATGATGCTTCTTTACACGAGTAGTCTTGTAGCAGAGCATCCTGGCAAAAAAAGTCTAGTGTATATCCTATGCTAAATTGCCCCGAGGTGTGAATGTGTGTGTGAATGTATGTGTCTGCGTGTCTGTCCTGTGATGGACTGGTGACCTGTCCAGGTTGTTTCCTGCCTTCTGCCCAATGAGCGCTGGGTTAGGCTCCAGCACCCCCCCGCGACCCAGGAGGTTAAGCGGCTTAGATAGTGTGTGTGTGTCTACATTGTAGTTAAGAATGCTGTATCATGTGGGGCTAAAGGTCCCATTTTCAGAATTTTCCTATTAATTTATTTTTGTGCCTGCAAATTTGCATGGGTTTATGTACCAAAAACAGATGTAATTATTTCTAGATGAACATTTCCAACCTCTCTTTATCCCTTAGAATTGAACAGGCTGTTTTTGGTACTTGGCCATTAAGACTGACATATTTAAATTATCACTGTTCTGATTTGCTGCTCTGTATTGTGCCTCATTCAAAAAGCAGACCAAGCTGAAAACCCACAACTTCAATGTGAATGGGCTAAACTGTTGTATTCTGAATAGGCAGATATGTGGAAATGAGTTTGCCTTCATGAAATCACAAAAACAATGAGATGTTTTAGCAGCTTAGTTTCTGTATATGGCCTGTATGGACTGGGGAGTGAACAGTATTTTGAAACTTGTGTTTTTCATCCAAAACAAGTGAGGAAATATTTGGTTTTCCATTATATAGGCCCTTTTACTTGTTTAACTTGTATGTCCCATTTCCAACAATTAACTACTTGTCGCAGTTTGGAAAATTGTTCACATTTGGTACAGAGCATAATGGCATCTCTGTGGCTTTGTTTAATGCCTGTGCTTGGCTAAATGTCTCCACTAGGAACAGGATCTGCAGTATCTGGTGGATGTGGTGTGGGGTGCGCAGTCTGCTCTGAGTGCCTGGAATGACCTGCATGATCTAGTGCTGGTGCGCTGGGACAGGCAGTGGGAGTGGAGCCCCTGGAACTGCATCCTGCTCACCAAGGACGAAGCGGCTGCACACCACAAAGTTGAGAACGTAGAGAAGGTATACAAATAAACACATTTTTACTCCTGAACCCATAGAGATCACTTCTTACTTTGGTTTTCAAGTGTTCCACCAGAAATGATGTCCTGAAGCAGGGACACTGTGTTATAATTTTTAAGTCTTGCTTTTACCCTCATCTAGACTGTGCGTGATAAGCGGGATTCTTTCAGTGTAGCAGTTTTCAGTTTTATTTATGGGAATCACATGTTATAGAAGGTGTAGCAGACGTGAGAAATATTATTGCACACTTTTTGGTTATGTGTAGTGCATTCTGAGGTTTACTGTGTAAAAATGATTTGCATAGAACTCATTTTAAACCATTTATTTTTTTATTTTTTTTAAATCCTTCAGTAACATGAACACATTTATTTTTGAAAGTGAGAGTTTAATTTCAGGTACAAATTCAAGTGGATTATCAAAGACTATTGATAAGTACCCAGCTCTGTATAAAATAACCTTTGATCTGCCTTAGCTTCCACATGTCAGTCTCTGATATGCAGTTGTTGGAATTAGTTAAGGTTAGCTGATTGTCTCCCTCATTAAGCAGGCACTCATGCAGTGACACACTCCAGAAGCTTTTAAAAATGTTCTGATGATCTTCCTGGATAACATTAAACCGATTTTCTGTTTAGCCAACCTAAATGTCAACCCTGTGTGTTCACAGTTGTATGCTGAGAAAATGTAGATAAAGACATAGTCAAGAGTTTCGGCGCTCCTGGTCAAATAACGTTTTGTTGATTTTGTAAATGTAAATAAGTTCACACATCCGTAAGAGAACACATGTATGCATGCTTTAAGCATACTTACTGTTTATTTGCTTAATTTAACATATGCAAGTTATACAGTTAAGAGTGTGAAGTTTGGGCCAACATATGGCCAATGCTAATAAAAGCACTGAGCATTGTGTAATTCATTGTTGATTTTGCTCACTCATAGTTCTTTGAAACGTGTTATGATATTCTGTTAAAAGTGCAGATGCTAAATTTTTAATAAATACCGCATTTGTGTTCCTAAAAAGAAGAGACAAGATTTTATTATGATTTGAATTTGATACAGTTATTGTTGTGCTTTACCTCAGATGTATCACAGAACACAGAATGTAAAGCAGATGTATATATCATTCTTTGCCCAAATCATTATGTCTTTAAACATGTAATGTGTACATAAACAGTTTGACAAAACATCCTGTACTTGATTAATGTACATTTCTTACTGGAGGCCAGCAGATGGCAGCATTGGTGAAGTCACCTTTTTATTTCTTGTTGTAAAGCCAGTGCAGATCCCTTGAGGATTCTAAACCTCAGAGTCAATCAAAAGACAGAGAAAAGCTGTTGTGATGCAAACATCATGACTCCCACAATGGCAAAAGCCCCCAGGACAATTTCACTGATCTTAGTGGAGCGGTTTTGATTGGTCACGCTCAGTACGGTCAAAGAAAGAAGGTGGTAAATCTCCTAATGTCTCTGTTATTGAGTCTTTATCAGTTAACTCCACAAACGTGAAATAAAGTCATTTTACAGCCCATTTTATTTCGGTGTCAGGGATTCTCCCTTTGAAGATAAGAATCTCGCACTGTTTTATCTATAGAGCTAGCGTGCAAGGCAGTTGCTTTTTGTTTATTACAAACAGAATGAACTCTGGCTGTAAACTTGTTCTCAGATAGTATTGCTCAACTGTTTTGCAGGCATACAGCGTGCCGTTTATCCGTAACATCAAGCACAAACACACTCTGGCCCGGAAGTACTTCTCTCAAATTCCTATGATGGCTGAGCACCTTCACGATGTGGACTCGAAGCCTGCTGCCCACAGTGACCTGCTGGTCACAAAACCCATCACCACGGCAACCAAGTAACATCAGTAAGGCACCACCCACAAGCCCTAAAGTCCTCAGCACTATCTGCAACTCTACTGCATTTATGTTTCTTGTTTCTAGAACTCTTTTAGAACATAATAAACAAAGCAATACACATGATGCAGAGATGCTTTAGATCATAACTTTTGCACTAATGATCTGTTGATGTCTATGTTGTGTCTGGTTTCATACAAGAGAGTCTTTGAGTGTCTTGACTTGCTCTCTAATGGATTTCTGAACTACACCCAGCATGAAATAAAGCTATTGAGATCCATTTTTCACTCACAGCCTAGTTGTTCACCATAAAACGTTTTATTTGCTCCGTTGTGCTGTATTTTCTTGTCAAGATAGACAGCTTATGCATGGTGCATTACAATCAAATCAAATAGAGAATCAAAACATATCATATAGTATTTTTCACACCAGAATGATACTAATATCCTCCTAAAATTGCCATGTGTAGAGAGTCTATAGCAGTGCATAAATAGCTCTGTGACTAAACACAAAATCCACTTTGAGCTATTGAAAACTAATTTGCTGTTGCCTAAAATGCACCAGTTCAAGGGGTACTAATTACACCTCAAGGAATGAAATATAGCCACAGATATAATTGGAAGATGAGCGATCTAAAATATGCAATTAGGGGAAAAGGTCAAGAACCGGCTTTTGCTTCTCATTTACTGCTCATTTAGTCTCCTGACTTGAGATAGCGTAGTGTCTGAATTCGACTCCGAGCAAGGTGTTCAGTTTCCTCTCTGTAATGCACTGAGAACTGAGATCTTTCTTCACGTGCCATTATTAACCTGAATCTTTCACCCTGAAAATTCTCCTCTGTATTCATCATGTTTATTCCAATTGTGAACATGAACAGTTGAAAACTGTAAAATCTTTTTTTTTCTGTTTGCTGTTTTTTAAAGTATGGTTTGTATCTAAAAATAGCAACAAATCAATAAATATTCCTTTCATGACTCTAAATACTGCAAGCTTGAGAATCATTATTTCTTTTCACACTTTCACTCTTCTGTCACCTGACCTGAGGGAGTTCCCTGTGATGACCAGTTGTGTAACATGTCTGCCTGAAGGGTAGTGTAATTTTATTTTGTTGACACCTGTACACCTTCACTCTTGATTTCCTCCTCATTTGGAATGAGGTGCAGAATCTGGGCTCATCGTTGTCATCATTTTCTGGAAATTTTCTTGAAGACGCAAATTTCAAGGTTCTTCCATTAAATGCAAACCCCTCGTCCAGCATTACATTTATCTATATAATTTGAACTAATTTGGTTAATGGTTCATATAAATCACACTGTTGTAGAGTTAATAATGAAGATACCATTTTAGTCCACCCATACGACACTGCCTTAATAGTACACGTACACACAGGACACACAATGTCTTTGACTTTAAGTTCCAGAAGCTATTTTAGTGCTAATAGCACCCCCTGTGGAGAGTCTTCAGCCTATCGAATGCAAGTGAGTGAGATAGGTGAGGGTGGTGGTAAAACATGATATTGTTAGTTATTATTATTTTTCCTCACAGTGTCTAAAAAAATCAGAAGTAGTTTTGTAGGTGGGCAAATGTCATTACATTTTGGTCAAAGATCATCTTCTAAATTAGATGGTGATGAATCATGCTTAATGTGACCCAGGACATTGGGGAAATTTAACCCTCCGTGATCCACAATGTTTCCAAATATGTTTCTCTATTGTTGCAAGACTACAGTGCAGAAATGCAGTTCAAACACTTCATGAATCTGTAGCGTCTTCCCTTTCGATTCCATCTTATTGCAAGATTGTATGTGACACATCTTTAGTCATGAGGCTATGAAGAGAGGTTGAGATACATGTCACCTGCCTCCCACTGTATACAATTGGTGGATTTGTATGTGTGTGTGCGTTTTGTGTGAAACTGACTGATGGTCACTCAGGAAATCACTAAGGACTTAGCCATCATGTCGGAAACATTTCATTCTTCATTCAGTTGTCATCAGACACGTGAAATGGCATGCAGAGAGTTAACAGCCACTGAAGTTGCTGCAGCGGTTTTGGAAAATAGTAATGAAGATAACGGAGCATTTTGATATGAAACATTTGGGTATCATTTTATGTGCAAATGCCTTGAAAGGTGAATTTAAGAAAATACGCAAAAATCAAGAAAATGCCCTCAGACCCCAGAGGGTTAAAATTTTGACTATAAAATTATATTAACAATAACACTTCTAAACGAGTTTCTAATGTGCCTGTTATATAACGGTAGGGTTGTGAATGCAGCCATTCATGAATGAAAAATAAAATTTGTCACATGAAAAAAGAAGGGTGTCATCTTTATAGTGTGGAAAATTCCAACATATCAGTGATGAGTATAAAGAATTTGAGTCACGCTTTATTTTGAAAGTAGATTCATTTACAGATAGTTAAATTATTAACAAACTATCTGGTGAAACTCAACCTATCACCAGAACTCGTGAGCGCTGAGAGTGTTACGGTTAGATTTAGGATTAGAACCAGGTTTGGAATTGGGTTTTGCTTGAGGTTGAGGTTAGGTTAGACTTCCTGATCAAGATGACTTTCTGTGACCTAATATTCTCATATCAAAATACAATGTGAATCTGTTTCTAAAAGTGTTCTGACTCCAGTAAATAATTCCCTACAGAGACAAGCACTTGCAGTCTAATACTAATACTGCCATGAAATTGACATTGATTGAATAGTTTGGTAGAAGTAGACAGAGGGTTTGAAGACATTATGTCAGGACCCTGTTTGTGGTTTTAGATAAATCAGCTGCATATGCATAACTCTCATTCAGTCTCTTATCAATTATCAGATAGACAGCAACAAAACTATTGACCTGTGTTTGACACATAAATAGACTGCCAGTTTATGAGCAGCTGTATGTTCACAGCTGCTGAAATCAAAACTGTTTTTAGTTCAGTTTATCTTTGTAACAATGACATGAGTGATTAGAGAAAAGCAGCCAAAAGCTGAGGTGAATCATAAATGAAATCTTATCTTATAGTTCTTAATGAACTATTATTGTGGAATATGAGGACTGTGTATCATGCTGGTAGCAGAGGAAGTTGTGTGAAAAGATAATCTCCTCAAAAGTGCTTAAATGGAGCTTTACCGACATTTGAATTTCAATGGAAGTCGATTGTTTTTTTATTTATTGCCCACAGTACTGTGCCTTTGAAGAGGATTCATATTTCCGGTGCCAATGACCCATAAACATAAAAAAATGATTTTTCAATGTGGAAGGTTAGAGGAATACCTTCCTTAAAAAGACAAACAGTTCGGTCAGAGCTCTAGGTCTTTTATCTCTTCTGTCATAACATAATGAAAGACTAAGGTACACTACATCGAAAAGCCTTAATAATTCCAGCTGCTAGTTCTGTGAAGAGATTAATGAGTAGTTCGAGAGCATTTTAGTTTGTTCTTAGAAGCAGTTTTCCCCTTTGTTCCTCACGGTTCAGTTTGTGAACATAGTATTTATGAACTGAAGAAAAAAAATACAAGGCTTATTATTCAACAGTTATCTGGATTACAAGGCAAACTGTCATTATTATTAAGCTCTACAAGAGTGTAGTAAAAGTTTGGCAGCAGCGGCAGGTCCTGGCCATAAAAGGATTAAATAATTGCTTAATCTGGTAAAATGGCTGTTAATGCTGATTAACAACGTCTTCTCTAGACTTTGGACATAGGAGATTTAGTGCAAGTTTCTTATCTTCTCCTTCAAGGACAATGTGAAGAAAAACTATAAATCAGTCTCAAGTATGCAGGTGTACACACTTAGTGCTGGGTTTTCATCACAAATTAGGCCTAAGCCTACTCATAAACGGAACAAGTTCTCCTTCAGTGGGAAGTCATCATTATCTGTGCATGATTTAGTCTTGGAATCAATGGAACAGCTCCATAATCTACTCGATAATCTTTTCCTGTCCCTTCTTTAGATCAATAATTAATGAATCACATTAAATGTGTGTGACTGCTGGACCGGAATAGATTTTAACTACTGCTAATTATGATCAGTACCTCACAGTAAATCAGATAAAATAAGACGTCAAATATGTTCTGAGGAAAAAAGATTTGTTGAGCGCACTGACATTAGCGACTGATTTATCGTTTTTCAGGAATGTCAGGGGTTAAGGTTTAAGATATAACAATCTGTTGACTGCTTGAACACAGATAACAGATTAATACTGCCCATGCAAGACGGGGTAAATAATGCCTCCAGTCCCTCCTGGGGCTGTGTTATGTACTATCATGCATTATTTATGGGTTTGTGCTTTTTAGGCAACAGTGTTATTCTTTAACAGCACCCAAGGAGCACAGTGATCTTTGCTTTGGGGGAAAAGAATGTGAATACCAAGTCTGCTTCTGTAAAAAATGATCTAAGACAACAGCTGCTTCTCAGAAGCGAGTGTGGGAATCAACTTTCTAAGCATGTTAGTGCTTTTTAATGTTAACAAGAACCAGTCTGTTACTTTATACCCAACCTAAATGGATCTCTTTTTTCCAACTCATGATTACTCTTTTTCATTTAAATTATAGATTAGGCAGAATTTTTTTTAGCAGAAAAAATTCAATATCCAATAATTCAAAAATAACAAATTTTACAAAACTATTGAATTAAGTATTAAGTATTTTTTACGTTATCAACATGTCAAAAAGTTTCAAGGTATGATAACAACCCGCTGACATTTTGTAATGTTTTTATTCCTCGAAACATTTATTGTGTCCAGATTTTTTAGGGATTGTTTCGATTTGAGTGTCACTAGGGTCATACCATCTCAAAGCAGTATGATTCTGCGAATGTTAAAGCTTAATCTTCTGAGTCATTGCTTTATGACTGGCTTGAGATGGGCCAGTAACAGTGGGAATATAGGTTAAGGGTACCTCCAGGGCAAAGATTAATCACTGGCTACCTATATAAACTCCTCCAGGAGGCAGAATTCCTGACTTCACACTGTCCAAGCACACCATGAGGGCCTTCGCTGCAGGACTATGGAGCTATCGGAGTCTACTCATCATCATTCTCACACCACTGTTAATGCTGCCGCTGCCTCTGATCATCCAGACACAGGTTAGAGTGCAAATACACATAACCGCCAGGCGGACATTCAGTCTAAAACCTTTATGCTGAAAATACTGTAGTAATATACATGGTAGTTTGTTTAAAAAAAGTTTTTAAAAATATGCAACAATATAAGAATGAAAAACAGGTAAAAATCAGGTACGAGGTACCTTTGAATCTAATTATCTTTATTCCAAGTGAAATCAACTTCTAAACTTACCAGCATCTTTATGAATTAGTGTTGACTAAAACAGTTATTGGTTGAATACTCAGACTTTTTTGCATATTGAATTTAATTATTCACCAAATACTCTGATTGCAGAAACTGTAGCTTATATGTTGCTCAAAACAGACTCAGACCTACTGCACAAACAAACAAACAAACATTTAATGCATGTTAGACGTAGACTATAACCCGTTTTCATAGCAGGTAATAATAAAGCAATATTCCTGTAATGATTCCAGTCAATAATCTTTGACTTTTATATTTTATTAGCTTGTGGAATTCAGGTTCATTGATTTACAGCCTCTATTGTGGCGTGTGTAAACTTTACTACTCTATCTGGAAGTGTCTTGCTAAAAAAAAGTCAATTAGCTAGTTCTCAGAGTAAGACCAACTAGTTCTTCATCTGTACTTCATGCTTACATTCTTTACTGATACCCTTTTGAAGGGTTGATCAAACCCTTTATGTCCTCAGTGCTAAAAACACCCCAGTCTGTCCAAGTGTACTGTACTTGCACAGACTGAACTGACCTGAAAAGGAATTTCATTTCTTGTAGTCCAGTTGCATGTTTTCCGACATTCAGTCTGTAAATGTACATGTCCTATAGGTGGCGCAATGTGCCTTTACCCTGGTGCTGATGGCGGTGTTCTGGATGACAGAAGCATTGCCTCTGTCTGTTACTGCCCTCACCCCAGCACTGGTGTTCCCTCTCTTCGGCATTATGAAGTCCTCAGAGGTAACCTTCACTTAACTTTTGAGCTTAAAAGAATATTTCTGTGGAAATACAGTATGAGCAACATCCAACAGAGTAAATACAGTATTTCTATAGACATGTTTTTACTGCGTGTTATTTTCACACACAAAAAAATTAGAACTTCCTTATGAATTACTGGACGTATTGCAACACTACTGAGATCACCTTTTTACCCTCCTCCTCTTCGTACGCAGGTTGCAACATTATATTTCAAAGACTTCCACTTGCTACTGCTTGGGGTCATTTGTCTTGCCACCTCCATTGAGAAGTGGGGTCTCCACCGCAGAATTGCCCTCAAGCTGGTCACCCTGGTTGGAGTCAACCCTGGCATGTAGGTCTTCTTTATCTTTCTCGTTTTCTTTTCACAGCTCCTTTTTTCTTCAGGGCAACTGGAATAAATTAGATATTAACAACCCTTTTTTGTTTTTTTTGTTTTTTATGAAGTGCTTTATTACTTAACACCTGTGCATGCCTTTGACGTTCAGTAATTTCTTTTAAAAAAAAAAAACGCACATGGAAATTATTGAGACAAGAGCTTTGTAGTATTAATTGGAAGACTTATTGGTTTGGGTTGTTATTGCTCTGCTTCTGAAGACTTCACAGTGGTTTTCTGACCTGTTCTTAACTTAAGCTGATGTATCACCTAATGCGTGATTATGTCTTGTTGCAGGTTGATGCTGGGCTTGATGATGGGCTGCGGCTTTCTCTCCATGTGGCTGAGCAACACATCAACAGCGGCCATGGTGATGCCTATAGTAGAGGCAGTGATGCAGCAGGTGATGAGTGCAGAAGGTCAGGTCAGCAGCCAGCAGGAGAAGGCATCGTCTGGTATCTGCAATCCTGCACTCCAGTTGGAAGGTGGTGAGTTACTTAGAAGACAAACTCTGACATTCATTAAACTACATTCATTTTACATCTTTTTTAACATGTAACCTATTCTTTGTTTTCATAGATACTGAAAAAGAGTATGAAAAGGCCACGGATATGAAAAGGTGAGCAGGATCAGATTAAACGGTTTTATTTTATTTGGACAGCCCCCTATAGACAAATAGAATAATGAAATAAAATGTCTGGACTCAAGAAAAGAAATATAAACTCAACAGAATATGTTCCCTAAATAAAGGTACCACCCTAGTGACAGTTTGTCTGTATAGATGTTCTTGTTGTTAACACCTGGATTAGGAGTAGGATTAGAGTCAGGGAAAATAAAGGCAAATTTAACAGGTAAGTACTTAAATGTAAGTTAAATGCAAGGTAAATAAAGTATTTGCCCCTCACCTGATTTCTTACATTTTTCACTAATTTGTCACACTTAAAATTAGAGGGATGATCTGAAACAATTCTTATATGATAAAGACAACAGAAGTATATAGAAAATGCAGCTTTTAAATGATCATTCAATTTATTAATAATCAAGATTTATTCAAAACCTGTATCACCCATGTGAAAAAGTAATTGCCCCCTGAATCTAATAACTGGCTGTGCCACCCTTGGTTGTAACAACTGCAATCAAACGTTTGCAATAACTTGCGATGAGTCTGTCACATCACTCTGGAGGAAATTTGGCCCACTCTTCATTGTTTTAATTTGGCTACATTGGAGGGTTTCGAGCATGAACTGCCTGTTTAAGGTCCTGCCACAGCAGGATTCAAGTCAGGACTTTGACTCGGCCACTCCAACACCTTAATTTTGTTTCTTTCGAGCCATTCAGAGGTGGACTTGCTTGTGTGCTTTGGATCATTGTCCTGCTGCATAACCTGACTGCACTTGAGCTTGATGTCACAAAGTGACAGGCGGACATTCTCCTTCAGAATTTTGTGATAGAGAGCAGAATTCATGGTTCCATCAATAATGACAAGTTGTTCAGGTCCTGCAGAAGCAAAGCAGCTCCAGACCATCACACTACCAGCACCATGTTTGACTGTTGGTATGGTCTTATGGTGGAATGCTGTGTTAGCTTTACACCATATGTTATTCCTCCTTTGACTTGTCAGTCCACAGAATATTATCTGAACAGTCTTGGGGGTCATCTAGATATTTTCAGGCACATGTGAGATGAGCCTTGTGTTCTTTTTGGTCAGCAGTGGTTTGTGCCTTGCAACTCTCTCATTTGGGTTCTTTTGTGACCTCCTGGATGTGTTGTCAATGCGTTCTTGGTGAAATTTTGGTAGGCAGGCCACTCCTAGGAAAGTTCACCACTGTTCCAAGTCTTCTCCCTTTGTAGAAAACGGCTCTCACTGTGGTTTGCTGGAGTCCCAGAGCCTTAGCAATGGCTTTATAACCCTTTCCAGACTGGTAGATTTCAGTGACTTTGTTTCGCATCTGTATTCGAATCTCTTTAGAACGTGGTATTATGTGCTGGTTTTTGAGGCCTTCCAGCCTGCTTCACATTCACAGACAGGTTCTATTTAAGTGATGTTTAGATTCAACAGGTCTGACAGAAATCATGCTTGAGTGTGAATAGTGAAATTGAACCCAATAGTCAATTGAATTTGGTTATCTGGTTAATTTAGTAGGGAAGGGGACAATTACTTTTTCACATAGGGCCAGGTAGGGCTGAACAGCATTTTTTCTTCAAGAAATAAAATCACCATTTAAAAAAGCATTTTGTGTTTTTTTGGGTTATTGTTTGTCTAATATTAAGAATAGTTTGATGATCTGAAATATTTAAGTATGACAAATATGCAAAAATAGAACAAATTCACAGCACAGTACCTACAAAGCACCTATAATGGACTATCCATATAATGTGTTATTGAATAAAGTGCCACAACCTTTTTTCACTTATTTGCTATTGATGATTGTGAATTATGTTTTTTGTCCATGCAGCTCTGAGCCAGTAATTAATGAGGTGGTTCTCACTGTCCCTGAGGAGGACCATGCCACTGAGGTAAGCACATGCTCACTTTAAAACCAACAACTCTCCACACATTGAATTATGCTCCTCTGTTATTGAAATTGCAAAATTGCTAACTTTCTTTAGTTTTTAAATGATTTATTCTTCAGTCCAGCTCTAATTTCACTTTAACGTCTGTTTACTAAAGTCACGTTTTGTAAATGTACTGTCAACACTGACATTAAGTAAGCTTTTTTTACTCTTTCTGTCCATCAGGCTTTACCAAGTTCACCATTAAACTCAAAGTACAGGACCCACCGAGATCACATGATGTGTAAAAGCTTGTCACTGTGCATTGCATATTCAGCATCTATTGGTGGACTGACCACTCTGCCAGGAACATCTTCAAATCTCATCTTTGCTGAATATATCAATCAGTAGGTTCTTGTTTGTTCATGTTTTTGTGCTATTATAGTTCCCATCAAGGGGATCTGCTATTAAAATCGTATCTGCTGTGTTTTTATTGCAGAGTAATGAATATATGAATATTCACGTTTACCTTTACAGGTTTTACCCAGGGTGCAAGTCCATCAACTTTGGAAATTGGTTTATTTTCTCCTTGCCTATTTGCATCATTGTCCTACTGTCAGCTTGGATATGGCTACACTGGCTGTTTCTGGGTTCAGAGTGAGTGTTCACTGTCTCTCTCATGTCATCATTCCCTTTCTGCCTCGCCTTTTCTTCCTTAAAGACGGTTCACCGGATCACACTTATCAAACGCCTCAGAGTAAGAAATCTAGTCTAAGGCCAGCTATTTCTTGCCACTCAGTAATACATGAATATAATACAATGCAGTAAAGAGATCCTAGATCAGCACTCTGAGACGTATGATAAAACAGTCCTTGATGTGAACTGACTCTCATTCTCTCTTTCTTCCAAGCATACCTACTTCATCTTCACAGCCTGTCCTCAATCTTCTTCTTTGACATTGTCCATATGTATCCTTTTCTCATCTCTCACATTTTATCGCTCAATTCTTTTATCAAGGTTCCACTGAAACCTTCTTCCTTTTGTTTACCTCTTGCTCTTCATACTTCACATGCTGCATGTGACTGGTTGGCAAATTGTGGTTTTGTGGGATGGAGAATACATGTATTTTCTCAGTAATTGAATAGCTATCTATAGTATGCTAATCCAGGATGTCAGCGTTTTTACTCATACATTTCCTGCCTTCCTTCCAGTTTCCGCTCATCGCTGTGCTCCAGAGGACGCCAGTCTGAGAGGGAGAAAGCCGCTGCCAAGGTCATCAAGGATCAGTATGAAGCACTGGGGCCTATGAGGTCAGATATAGGAATCAAACACTTTATTGTTAATAAGTGTTGAAGGGCCTGTATCCTGTATTTTCCTTTATTTTGTTTTTCCCCTACTGAGGTCCACTTTTGACACATGATGCTTTTGATGCATGTAAATTACCTCTGTTCTGATTGGCTGCCCAGAATGTATCCATAAATAGGCTTAATTTTGTATATTTATTTGAAACTGGACAGAAGACAATGTAAGAATAAATGGATTACTGACATGTTCTCTCCTTTTTAATTTCTCTGTGCCCACTAGCCAGCAGGAGATGATCACCCTGGTTATTTTCTTGCTGATGGCGGTGCTGTGGTTCGTCAGAGATCCTGGCTTCATGCCAGGCTGGGCTTCTCTATTCCCTGAGTAAGTGTACTGTGGTCACGTTGTAAACTCATTGCCCTTTGGTTGTTAACCTTAACAATGACACATTAGTAAAAACATAGATGCATTTAGTATGATCTACATTTAGTATACATATATTATGATAATGATGATCTGCAAATGAAATAAAAACGGTATAGATCTCTCTGGGGGGTTAGTCTTTTCCAAAAACAATTACCAGTATCTCACTGATAGTCTATCTAAACACACTCCATTGTAATTGCTCTAAAAGTGGTTCTCATTTACTCCACTTAATTCTCATTAGTGAAGTCTCCTCTCTCTCTGCAGCTATCCAAGCTATGCAACTGATGCCACCGTGGCTCTACTGCTGGGCATTCTGTTCTTCATCATCCCTGCAAAAAGACCCACTGCAGATAACTATGGTATATCATTAACCATCTACACATGGAAATACACATGAGAACTGGACAGTGGCCTGTGGACATGTATGAGATATTTGTTATATGCTATCCATTTTATGCATCAAGGGCTATTTATTTACAGTGCTCACCCTTTAGCACTACTCTTGTCATGAGTGCTTGCTAACATTTCTTCTCCCTGTTCTAACAGAGACTATGATAACATGGAAAGAGTTCCAAGCTTGTATGCCTTGGGAGATCTGTCTACTTGTGGGAGGAGGATTTGCTTTAGCAGAGGGAACCAAGGTAACATTACTTCACCTATAGAACATTTCCTCAATTATATATAATATTGATGTCATATGAAAAATCTCTGAAGCTCTTATTTTTAACACTGTTTGATGGATGTTGAATGAATTGTTCAATGATTAATAGACCTATAGATATTGCCTATAATTGTCCAGTTTGTCCAATGGATATATATATATATATATATATATATATATATATATATATATATATATATATATATATATGTGTGTGTTCTCTGTTTCTCTGCATACTTTGCTAACATCCATTTACTCTATTTTTAATGGTCAGGACCCTACAGGGTGGTGGATCATTCTCAGTACTGCAGTGACACTGATGTGGTGGTGGTGGTGGTGTGTTAGTGTGTGTTGCGCTGGTAGGAGTGGATCAGACACAGCAGTGCTGCTGGAGTTTTTAACCACTGTGTCCTTTTACTGTCCACTCTATGAAACTCTCCTACATTGTTGGTGCATTTTGTAGATGTGAAGTCTGAGATAATAGCTCATCTGTTGCTGCATAGTTTGTGGTAGCTATTTTCCAGTGGTTTATAAGTGGTCACAGGACACTACCTACAGGATGCTGCCTACAGGACGCTGCTGGCTAGATTTGGTTTGGTTGGTGGTATTTTCAGTCCAGCAGCGACACTGAGCTGTTTAAAACATTCCAGTGGCACTGCTGTGTCTGATCCACTCGTACCAGCACAACACACACTAAAACACCATCACCATGTCTGTGCCAGTGCTGAGAATGATCCACCACCCAAATAATACCTGCTCTGTGGGGGTCCTGACCATTGAAAAACAGGGTTAAAGGGCTCTGACAAAGTGTGCAGAGAAACAGATGGACTACAGACTGTAATTGTAGAACCACAAGGTGCACCTATATGGTTAGTGAAGCTGATAAAATGGACAGTGAATGTAGATACATGTTCATACTCACACCACACGCTTTCCATACATCTGTTTTCATCGTTTAAGCATGTATCATTAGCATGACATGGCCGTGATGCATACATCTTCTTCTGTCAGTATGAACGATGGGTAATGAACACCTTTGCCTCTTAATATTCCTCCTGCGTAGAGGAACGGGGGTCTGGGGGAGGGGGTGGGGGAAGCATTGAGGTTCCTGCACTCTTTTGATCCAGCTTTCCAAATGTCATGGCAAGTCCAGCCTTTAGCAACCTCAAAGGAAGAAGGTTGGCAGCTGTGCTGGACTTGCTGCATGTGAATTTTGGACCGGAACAACTTACAACTTACAAGACACACGGCTAATGGCTTTCGTTTCAGTATTTCAACATTTGCTAACTGGAGTAAAATATTAGTGTTTGACTGTTTCCTTAGCACACATTCACTTCTTTTATCTACTCTCTCGTGCACCCCTCAGGTATCTGGTTTATCCTCCTGGGTTGCGGAATTGATGAGTCCATTGGGAAATCTACCTGTACTGGCCATTGTCACCATCGCCTGTATAATTGTCACCTCTATCACTGAAGTAGCAAGCAACCCAGCCACCATCACTATTTTCCTACCTATTCTTTCTCCTTTGGTATGTTAGCTTTAGACAAAATATAAAGGCCACAAGTGTGGTCAGTAAGATGTTGCATATTCATTGTTAATGTTATACTTTGTGTGTGTGTCATTGCCAGGCTGAGGCTATCAAGGTCAACCCTCTCTACATGCTAATACCCACAACTCTTAGTGTGTCTTTCTCCTTCTTATTTCCTGTCTCCAACCCTCCAAATGCCATTGTCTTTGCCTATGGCCATCTTTCAATCATGGATATGGTAAGACCTTATCAAAATAAGTTAACTCTTTAACTTTAAGTCTTTAAATTTAGTTAAAACTCAAAAAAGGCCAAATAATAAAAATGGACTTAACTAACTGAAAAAATAAAAAAGCCCACACAAAGCCTTTTAACAAATCCAAAATACTTTACTGGAAAAGGAAAAACACTGTGTGGCAAAAAATGCATATAAATGGGTGCCAATCAGGCTGTGTCTTAGTGTAATAGAGACCAATGAGAGAATTTAAATTATGCATTATTTTCAAATTGCTGACTAATCATTGCCCTTACGTTAAAGATTTTATGTGGTTTCTTTAATTGAGTAATCAAGTTTAATCGCTTAATCATGACAACACTTTCATCAATATGGTATTAGCTGTGGAAGTCCCATAGTAATGGAAGGACGTATGGTTGCTTTATCTTTTCCAGGTCAAAGCTGGACTGGGCTTGAATGTCATAGGTGTTCTTACAGTGCTGTTAGCTGTCAGTACATGGGGAACACCAATCTTCGATCTGAACACCTACCCGGACTGGGCCTCCAGCCACGGTCTAACAAACACGACTGGGATCTGAATTGTTAAAGTATACTGTACAGTATTCTGGACGAGGACCAAGAATACTTGGATATTAATGAGAACATCAGCCACTAAATAGTATGAATTAGCTGGCACTGGCCAGGTCTCAGATAAGGATGCAAAAGGTATTTGTATATTGGCTGGCATTTTTTCTTTCCGCCCCTTCTGTGGACTGCGGGGCACTACTGTTATATTTAATAGCACACTGAAAGTGCCTATATTCTGTTCGTGTTTAATATGTACTCTGAACCCACAATGGTTTGTGTAAATGAGCTGAAAAGGGGTAAATGTGTGCTGTTCTGTGTCTAAAACTATTTTGTACAGGAGATACTTTTTATAACTACTACTAGAATAATAACTTTATTTATATACGCACCTTTTATACATGTAGTTCAGTGAGCAATGTTGAATAAAATAACTGTGAGATCATGAAAATCCATGGGGAAGTAGATCAAATGTAATAAAAGAGAACGTTTGTAAAAAAGCAGGAGTCATACAAAGTGTGCGTGTGTGTGTGTGTGTGTTGCAAGTGAAAAGTAGTCAGTTATTTGCATCATACAGTATATGGTGTCATTCAATTTGTGTAAGATTGCATGAGCAGGTGTTTTACTAAAAAGTGATTTAAAACTCTATTTGTTTAATAAAACACACCAGGAATGCTCAGTTAATTTTGTGCTCATCTTCATAGCATACCAAGAATAGGTCCCTTACTGCCGTTAGTGGAGCATTGGAGGGGAATTCCACTGTTTTTACAAAACTTCTGCATAATTAAATGGTTAATATGTAATCAAAGTCATTCGGAGTGTTCCATTCTAGATTAACTTGCGGAGTCAAAATTGTTCACAGTGGTGGTGATAAAAGCCAGATGGCTGAAGTGTTTAATGCTTCTAAAAGCTCCCTCACAGAAAGTCAAGATCAAATGGTATGAATATGTTGCTCGATGCCTAAGACATTGTGATAATAATAAGGTTTACAGCGCTTTGACATAAAATGATTATTTTTAAATCTGCACACCGTTGCCTCCCAGCAAGAAAATCCTGGCTGGGTGACCAGGGTCCTTTTCTTTCTGTGTGGAGTTTGCATATTCTCCCAGAGTCTGCATGGGTTTCCTCTCGCTGTCCGAAGATATGCAGTCAGGCCAATTGGACATGCTAAATTGCCCCTAGGTGTGAGTGTGTGTGAATGTATATGTCTGTCTGCCCTGCGATGGACTGGTGACCTGTCCAGGATGTATCCTGCCTTCTGCCCAATGATTGCTAGGATAGGCTCCAGCTCCCCCCATGACCCAGAAAGATAAGTGGTTTAGAAAATGTGTGTGTGTATATGTGTTTGTGGCATTAAGGTAGATGTGTGGCGTAACAGACAACAATACCCTAAAAAAAATATTTTTCAGATTTACGATTTTACCATGATCACCACTACATATAAAAGCTCAGAACACATCTGTAGGTTCACTGGTGGTTTAAAAATAAAATGGCTACATCTGTATTATAGACATTTCGAATCTGGTTTCTTTCTGAGTCAACAGTGCATCATTTCCCATCAAGCCATTCTGAATGACTTTGTTTACATTTCAGTTGTTAAATTATGCAGAAATGTTTTAAAATTGGTGAAATTCCCTTTTAAGTCCTCTTTATAAATATGACTATCAGTGTGGAACCGTTCCAGAAACATGATCAGTTTTCATCTCAAGAACTCTTGTGATCTATGGTAGGGGTTGACTGTTATGTGTTTTTCTGAGCCAATACCAATATTGATTATTGATACACTATATGATGCACTATAAAGTATTGGGACACACCTCTTAATCATTGAATTCAGGTGTTTCATTCAGGCCGTTTGCCACAGGTGTATAACATCAAGCATCTAGCCATGCAGTCTGCCTTTACAAACATTTGTGAAAGAATGAGTCGCTCTGAAGAGCTCACTGAATTTGAGCGTGTTACTGTAATAAGATGCCACCATTGCAACAAGTCAGTTCACGAAATTTCTTCACTTCTAGATATTCCATGATCAACTGTGAGTGGTATTACTGAAAAGTGGACGTGTTGAGGAACCACAGCTGTGAAGTGGGAGACCACGTAAAGTTACAGAACGGGGCTGCTGAGTACTGAGGCCTGTAGTGCATAAAGGTTGCCAATACTTTGCTGAATCAACAACTGCAGAGTTCCAAACCTCTTCTGGCATTAACATCAGGACAAAAACTGCACTGGGAGCTTCATGGTATGGGTTTCCATGGCCGAGCACCTGCATGAAAGCTTTACATATTCAAGCACACTGCCAAGCATCGGATGGAGTGCTGTAAAGCGCGCTGCCACTGGACTCTGGAGCAGTGGAAACGTATTCTGTGGGGTGACGAATCATGCTTCTTCATCTGGCAGTTTGATAGACGAGTCTGGGTTTGACGAATGCCGGAAGAACATTACCTGCTTGACTGTATTGTGCCAACTGTACAGTGGAGGAGGGATAATGCTATGGGTTTTTTTAGGGGTTGGCCTAGGCCCCTTAGTTCCAGTGAAAGGAAATCTTAATGCTTCGGCATATCAGGACATTTTAGACAATTGTATGCTTTCAACTTTGTGGGAACAGTTTGGGGAAACTGAGCTTTAGGTCAGGAACTGACAAGCAGACATTCTCCTTCAGGATTTTCTGATAGAGAGCAGAATTCATGGTTCCATCAGTTATGACAAGTCGTCCAGGTCCTGCAGAAGCAAAGCAGCCCCAGACCATCACACTACCACCATCATGTTTTACTGTTGGTGTGTTCTCAGATGTAAAGAGACCCATGTCTTCCAAAAAGTTCCACCTTTGAGTCATCAGTTCACAGAATATTATCCCAAAAGTGGGACGAGCCTTGGTGTTCTTTTTGTCAGCAGGGGTTTGCAGCTTGCAACTGTCTCATGGATGCCATTTTTGCCCAGTGTCTTTTTTATTGTGGAATCATGTAAATTGACCTTAACTGTGGTAAGTGAGGCCCGCAGTTCTTTAGATGTTCGTCTGGGTCTGGATGAGTCGTCGATGAGCTGTTGGTAAAATTTTGGTTAGGCAGCCACTCCAGGAAAGGTTTACCACTGTTCCAAATTTTCTCCATTTGTTGATAACGGCACTCTCTGTAATGGCCTTCGCTGGAGTCCCAGAGCTTCAGCAATGTCTTAGTAATCCTTTCCAGGCTGCTAGATTTCAATGACTTTGTTTTGCATCTGTATTTGAACCTCTTTAGAACGTGGCATCATGTGCTGCTTTTTGGGACCTTCTAGCCTGCTTCAACATTGACAGACAGGTTCTTTTTAAGTGATGTTTAGATTCAACAGGTCTGGTAGTAATCATGCCTGGGTGTGGCTGGTGAAACTGAACACAATAGTCAATTAAATTTAGCTGACTTGATTTAGTAGCTAAGGGGGTAATTACTTTTTCACATAGGGCCAGGTAGGGCTGAACAACATTTTTCCTTCAATAAATGAAATCATCATTTAAAAAAAGCATTTTGTGTTTTTTGGGGTTATCTATGTCTAATATTAAAAGTAGTTTGACGATCTGAAACATTCAACTATGACAAATATGCAAAAATAGAAGACATTAGGAAGGAGATAAATACTTTTTCACAACATTGAATTTTTTCTGCAGAATTTCAATCCAGAAGAAAAAAAAACTCGAGCATTGTTTTTGCAAGCATCTATAGAGCCTTTATTAATTAATGGAATAATTCAGTTGATTGAAGAATTGTGTTCCAGAAAGATGAGAAATTGGTCCGGTCAGGTCCGGACTCTTAAATGTGTTTCTTGAGCAAAGGTTTGATAATACTAGTACAGTTTCAGTGCATCTGAAGATGTGTGCTCTGCTTTCATGGCATGGCACAATGTTGAACAAAAAAAAAAAAAGGTTCAGAACATTTTAGTTGTAAGACTTTTTGTGAAGCACGATTTCATTTCTTTAAACTAAATGTCTTCACATAAGAGCTTCGAGGACAAATTGCTTTGCTTGGATACCCACATAATGGGTTCTACTCTTTCAGAGACTGAAAGCTTAAGTGAAAGCTAAAGCCTATTTGGATGATTTGATTACAGTCTGAACTAAAGATGGAAATAATCTCCACACATCAGCAGCTAAGTGGTGATCATAAAGTCTGTTTTAAGAAACCCAATACTTAAAATTAATGATATTTTGAATCAGAGTACAATACATCTAAATGCATCTGTGCTGTGAAGAGACTCACTTTTATTGTGTCACACAGCTTGAGCTATTATGGGCTATAAAGAGAATGTGCTCTGACATTTGCATTCAGATGTACTGCAGTGTCATCTGTTTTCTGTGAAACAAGAAAGTGATGAGTGCGGCTTACTTTAGACATGAAAACACTGACTATTCACAGTTACCTGTGGGTTGAGTTCTAGACTATGAACACAAAGGTGGATCTATCAAAGAAGAAGAACAGCCTTCGCACACCCACCTGCTCCAAATTGTCTGAGGATGATGTGAATCTGTGTCTCCTATTAGAAACAAAACAGAATGAATTCACAGCTATTTTACACATGTAATTACTGTAGCTACTGCCCATTGTTTTGTCTTTTTTTTGATGAATTTAGTATGTAATAAATAGTTACACTGGAGTACCACAATTCATCTACAGACTTGACTTGTTATTCAAGGTGTAGGTCTGACAAATAATAACCTAATTCCTGAAAATTGAGAAAATAAATAGAATGTGTACGGTACCGTGTATTCTTAAATACGAGCATAATGACCAGGCGATGGTTCAATTCATTTAGAGGTGGATTGCAATCTGAGAATTTTCCTTTGACCAGCTTTGAAACTAACCAGTCAGAAATAGAAGTCGCTGACAAAAACAAAGATTGTAGCAGAAAGCTTAGATAAATGGCTAAAGGCAATTTGGGAAGCATCAATAATAGCTCTGCCATTCTAAAATATCTTGTTGGAATATATTCTCTCATTGGCACAAACGTGACATTTGTCCACTATCTGGTTCCTGGGTCTCTAGATCTAAACAGAGTCTCACAGGGTGGGAAGAAAGGATTAAATCCTCTTTCTTTAGCCTCATAGCAATATTAGCCGATTGTGGACATCTATCAGGTCTCACGTATAGAACTGTGAGGCTAGACATGAGGATGTCCAACCTACGCCTCTTTGTGCCCTTAGTGCGTCTTTTGGTGAGTACTGCATTAAAGTGGACTTAGCCGGACCCTCTCATAAAAAATTCTGACACAGAGATACAAAGTGGATGAATTTACAGCTGCCTAACCAACATGGTGGAGAAAAGGATATTCAAGTATAAGCTAAAATGCATTTGTATATTAATTTAAATTGCATTTGAGCTGCATCATGCTTGTAATCTGTATTGAGCTGCTGTGTATGGATCATTCTACCGAATTTGTTCAAAGTCAGACTTGAAAACACATTTCGGACTTTTAACTACTTGGACTTGAGAGTAAAATCTTTTTGCTTTGAATGACCTTATACCTTAATTATGCTTATTTTATTGAAATAAATGATTGATCATTCCTTTCACTATCAAAACGATCATAACAATACCAAAACTTTACTAAACATTTCAGTAGTGACAATTTTTGCTCATTTTAAGCAAAACTCAAAAACACTAGCCAGTACATGACTAGTAAACACAGCTCTGTTGTACACACATAAAATCATATTTTCCATTAAAACACAAAAAAGTTTACTTTTTTGCTGAAAATGTGTCTTTCGGTAGTGACTATTCTTATGGCTAAACACTGATTTTCAGACTTCGGGACACATTTACCTCAAAAATTGTGATCTAACTGCTCACAGTTAACATGGACAGGGATGCTGTTTCACTTCCTGCTCTAAACTGCAGGGGTGTGGATAAATAAAGCTCCATCTATGGACTTAAACTGTTTTTGTTTCGGTAGTGACATGAATAAAGTTGATTTATTAAAATATTATACTCATGAAACATCAGAAATGTTCAACTTCAATTTGAAAAAAAAAGATCTTTAAAAATAAATATTGAAAAAAAAATATCAAAAAATGTAAGAAATTTAGGGCTTAGGGTATGGGACAGCCCCCTCCTAGTAGAAAGCACTCTATAAGTTATGATATTGAATATATTTAGTTTATTACTATCTCAGTGAATCCATTGGATTTAAATAGATCATTACATAATCCTTGTACATATCTAAGGTCTAAATACTTATTTTTTAATAGTTTTTTTTTTGTTTTTTTTTTAATGTGGGACCACAGTTTGAACTAATTCAGTAGAATGATCCATAGAAGCAAATTAGTTTATTTATTCTTCCCCAAATGTATGCTTTTAAACCTAGTGCTGTTGAGGTCTCTAGCCCAGTGGTCTTCAACACCGGTCCTGGAGAGCTACCTTCCTGCAGAGTTTAGTTCCAATCTAAATTTGTCATGCTGATCCTCCTTTACCCAACTCTAAAACATCTGATCCAGCCATCAGGAACTTCTGAAGAAGTTAATTAGCTGGAGCAGGTGTGGCACATTAGACACTGCAGGAGGGCAGATCTCCAGGACCAGGGTTGGAGACCACTGCTCCAGCCCAATAAGTCCATATGCTGTTAATGTCATATGGACTTATTGGGCTGGAGACCTAATAAGGTGAATGCAGGGTGAATTTTGGGACAGGCCAAGGTAGAGCTGGCTCCCTAACGTTTAGGAGAAACGTGGGGAGAAACATAAATGAGCACAAGGATTTGAGTTAATCTATAAAGGAACTTTTACATGGGCTACTGTTACAATCCTCTGTAGTAATTTACTGAATTTGTATCAACAAACTATCAAACTAATAAACACACAGTGGCTGAAAACCGCAAGCACAGTTGCTGAAAGCTATGATGTAACTTGTTTGACTATCTGTGACATGGTTGGAGTGTAATGGACAGTAGTGGACAGTGGGCAAAAAATAAACTAACAAACAAAACCAAGGTTTTTGTTTTTATCATTTATGTCACTTGTAATTTATCTGGGGCTCAATTAGTAACGGATAACGAATAAGGATACATAATACAAATGAATACAAAATACGTCATGAAAGACAAGCGTCAAGACTCTCCTGTGTCCAGGCAGCGGAACAAACTTCAACTGGCTGTTGGAATAACAGAGTTCCTCGCCATCTCCAAACACAGACTGAAGACCCATCTCTTTATGAAGCACCTAAGTGAACACCAATCTAGCACTTATTAAAATGCATTGTATTGCGCTTATGCTATGTCTTAATCTGTATTTTTGTCTTTCTTTCTAGGTATTAGCACTGACACTTGTTTCTGGCAGGTTTTAGTTCAAGGGTAGTTTAGGCTGTAACTTATTTGCACTAGCTAGGACACTGAGTGGACAACAAAGCACTTTTGGGCAAGAGACCTCAGCCTTGTGATTGGTGAGGGGAATAATTACAGAAGTGTTAAGATTGGGAAGGCTCAGTTTACATCACGAAGGCAGAAATATGGTGAAATATATCGGTCATTTATTGGTCACTGGGACATTAGAGTGTCAAGTGTTCTGTGATGAACTAACATAAAGTCTCTGATGATGATGTCATCTGCAAGTTGAAGCTTAAGGGCAAGTAAGTGACAGTCCAGAGGCGACCACTTTAATGTTTTTTATACAGTTTTGCAGCACAACACTTTAAATTCTGGTGCGTGACTCTCTGTTTTTTCACGTGAGGTGAAGCATGCGAAGAGTTTCACATAAATCGGAATACCAATGCTCACATCCCACCACCTGCAGTCTGATCAGATTACCTGTTGGGCTAGAAGAACAAAGTGAAGAACATATTTGAGCACAGCAGAATTACTGAGTTTATGGGGACCCCGCGTTAGACGAGATCCCAGGCTTGTACGGTCAAAAACTGGGACAAACCCCTTATTTTATATGTGTTTAAACCGTATGAGTTGATACAAATAGATTTCGATTGTATTTTAAATCTGTTAAGGGTCATCAAAGGCTCAGGCTACCCAGAGCAGGCAGCATGTCCCTGCTGGCCCTTTAAGAAGCCTCCCCTCCTCCTCCCACGTGTTGCTCGGTGCTACAGGTTGTGTACCTGTCTCTGGCAGCTCCGCATAGTGCCAGTCAGCTCGCGCTCAGGCTCGCGGCGGCGCCAAAAAAAGAAAAACAAAAAGAGCGGAAACCCGAGCAGCGGTGTGTGTGTGGCAGCCTAACTCCGCCCCAGTGCTGACACACAGGGAAAACTCGCTCCGCATCTGAAGAAGAGGAGGGAGAGAGTGCCGAAACACCTTCTCCTCTCCTCTCCGTCGCCTCCTCTGTAAGTTGAGGGACTTCTCACAGCCCGGTGTCGACCATGCTGGACCCGTCCTCCAGTGAGGAATCCGGGGGGGAACTTCCACCTGAGGACGAGCTGCCAGTCCAGCCGGAAAAGCCCTCGAAAAAGAGCCCCAAGTCTGAGAAAAGCCCAGGAGCTCCGCGCACACCAGCCAAGAAACCCCCTCCTCCTTCTTCTCCTCCGCAGGAAAACGAAAATGAGCAGGAGAGACTCCAGAAAGAGGAGTCGGAGAGGAAAACCAAACTCCAGATTTATGTGTTCGTGCTACGGTGCATAGCCTACCCTTTCAATGCCAAGCAGCCTACGGACATGGCACGGCGACAGCAGAAGGTGAGTGAGTGAGTGAGTGAGTGAGTGTGCACTACCTTTTACTGCCCTGGACAAGTACAAAACACCACCGAGCACCTGTTACTCTCGGCCCGTTTTCCCTCCAGCCACCCTGAACAGGAGTTAGACAACAGCTGCTGCCGGGGCTTCTCACTGCTCATTGCACACTCACCCACCGCAGGTTTACTGCTGAACATGAGAGCAAAAGCTGTGAATTGCCAGAGATGATGAATCATAGAAAAGCCTTAAGTCGCCCCCCCCAAAACTGTAAAAGAGATGTAGGACCACTTGAACAGCTTCCTACCTTTTACAGCAGAATTAGAACTGACGTTTCTCCCCATCTGTTTGGACTGTGTTTGACTTCAGGCTCTCCAGAGAATTAGCACCGATGCTATTTTTATAAACCAAACACCTACGGGCTCCTAGAGGCCATCGCTTTTTGAGGTGCTAGCAGTGTGAAATTAATATACTACAAGAGCAGAAATAGAGAGAAATGCACTACTATACTATGAGTGAAGTGTCTTGCTTGTATATTGGAGAATCTTGCTTAGTATGATTTTATTGGCTGATCCCCTGTTTACTGTCAGTGCCTTGTGTTCCATAAAGGCTTTAGGTGGATCTGGATCATGTTAAGACATATGCAGTCGCTTAAATGTCAGTCAGTCAATTAATCAGTCAATCAATCAATCAATCAATCAATCAGTCAGTCAGTAGGAGAACATCAAATTAATTATTTAAACAAAGCTTTTCACCTAACACCATTAAGCAGTTCTGAATGATATTCAGCAAATGCAATGTATCCCTGCAGCCTTGATCACTCTTCATTGCACATGCTAACTCATTCAGATCACGTGTAATATGATTTTGGTGCATGCATGCGCATATGTGTGCAAATCTTCTCCACATCCAGTGAGACCCTGCAGCCCTCCCTAGCTTTAGAATGATTTATTATACCAAGCTGAGCACTTTACCTGCAGTTTCGACCCCGATATCAGCACCTATCCACATACCTGAGCTTCAACAGGCAATACTATACTGTACCAATTAGTGAAGATATTGATGTAAGCAATAAAACTGCTCTCTCTGTCTCTGTTGAAATTAGAGTTAATCAAACCTCATGTATTATTGTCTCCATGCTTTACTCACAGAAAGCATCCTGTTGCTAGTAGGCCAAAAGAATGCAATAGATTTTGGATGATATGATCGGATTGTCCTCAAGGTACAGACGTGTTTGTACGTTCACAGTGTCCTTTAAGGGGTTACGTTGGTTCTTCTATGACTACGAGGTTCATTATGGGTCTTTTGCGTTAAAGTATTTCTTTTTTGAAGTTTGCTGATGTGCAGTCATAGACTGCCATATCTTTACTCCACTAAATACTCCAAATTGTTCATCCATGTACATGCTGCAGTCATTGAATAAGTTCTCTACTTAAAAGCAGTCTGTTGTTTCCTGGATGTGCATTTGTATATCCGTGTGTATGCATGTGTGTTTTTGAATTCAGCATTTTAAGTGTGTTTTGTTGTACATAATCTAACAGTGCTGCTTTAATCTGAACCTCAGGAAAAGCCTTTGTTTGATTTTCAAAGGCTGTTTGAGCACCATCAGAAATATATATATATGAAAGTGACTGCAGGCACTCTGTAGCTCTGCCCCTTTTGACGCAGTCCTTGTTTGTTTCTCCTGTATGTTTTGATTAAAGCTTCAATTTGACATTCATCTCCGTGGTTTACCTTTTCACAATAGTTCTGATCCTTCTTTGAGATGGCAATAATGATATGAAAACAAAATCCTTTAATATAATCAGGTAACATTTCTCTTTTTTTTTTTTTGCTGATCCACTTCTGTGTTTAATTATATGATTGAATTTTCAGATGTTGCTTATTAGATTATATTAAAATATAATAGTAGAGCTCCAGTTATATGAGAAGAAGAAGCAATTTTTGATCTTAATCCTTGTCACGAATGAGAAGGTGGGCAATATGATGATAATGTCATTATTGTGATACATTATGACTCAGTATATTTGTATCTGAGTATGAATTACATCTTAATACATTTTTCTGAGTATATCTATATACAGTGTAAATTGCTTCACTATACGCTTTTCTAAATATATCTGAGTATAAATTGTCATACGCTTTTCTGAGTATATTTGAACATACGTTACTTCACAGTGCACTTTTCTGAATATAAATTACATCATAATATGATTTGAGTGTTTCTGAATATAAATTGCATTACAGTATAGGAGTATAGATTACATCATAATGTATTATCTGAGTATATCTGAGGATTATCTGATTTTCTGAGAATATAAATTACATAATACACTTTTTTAGTATATTTTCCTATAAATAACTTCACAATACACTTTTCTGAGTATGTCTGAATAGAAATTACATCACAATACATTTTTATGAGTATATCTGAATATAAATTGCATAATACATTTTTCTGAGTATATTGTAGTATAAAGCACGGTATACTTTTAGGAACGATGAGGATGAGTATCATCAGTACTTGTAGAACACCAAACTGCATGTTCCACTAAAAAAAGGAAAAAAAAATGTGTTTGCTTATAAAAAACTATAAAATTCAGTCTCTAAATGAACTGACTGTGCTCAAGGTATAATATACTGTCATTTTGCTGAATCTTGTGGAGGCATAGAACATGTTCAGTTTTAAGCCAGAAAGGGGGAGGTTAAAAGGAAATTTGATGCTAATTAGGTTCATGTAATCACCAGCTCCTGTGTACTTGCTTGAATCCTCGTTTGTGTGTTTGAAAATCCTTTTAATCTAAGTAGGCAAACCGGTATTTTGAGAATGGTTACAAAGACGTTGTTGAAAGGCATACATTATATGTCCAAAAGTTCGTGGAAAATTCAGCTGTATAAGATGTACTCATTGCTGACAGGAGTTCAAATCCACACACAGCTTGTTTAGTCTCCATAGAAAAGTGTTAACAATAGAACAGGATGGTCTGGAGCAGCCGCACATGAGCCTAAGATCACCATGTCTGACACCAAGCACAGGTTAGAGGGCTATAAAGCCCCCCAGCACTGAGTTGTGGAGCAGTGGAACTGCATTCTCTAGAGTGATGGAGCACTAACCAATACCTTTAGGAATGAGTTGGAGTGGCATTTGTGATCCAGAGCTAATCATCCAACGTCAGTGCTTGATCTCACTAGTCCTCCTGCTGCTGAATGCAATCAAATCCTCACAGCAGTGTTCCAACATTTAGTGTAAAGCCTACTCGAAAAGTAGAGACAGCTACTGCAGTTACTGGGGACAAACTCCTTTTTAATACTCTTTATTTTGGAAGAAACATTTGATGAGCAGGTGTCCACAAACTTTTGGCCATATAGTGTGTATCATATATGAGGCTCCAGAAATGTGCATTTGTTCAGAAATAGAAGCTTTTTTCAGGGAAGGGGGTATGTTGCATCACATTAATGTGTTCAGCTTATTCATCATTCTCCTTCACTGTAGTATGAGTTGGGTACCAGATGCTTATTCAAATGGCATTTCTTTCTGTGCGCACTCCACACGAGTTGTAATCCTCTGTGTGAGTGCTTTCCACATTACTGCTGCTGCGTGCAAAGCGCGTTGGGTGCAGTTTGAAGAGGAGCGGGCAACTGTGAGGCCAGTGCAGCATTTTATGGAATATTTTGTTTTGGATAATGACCAGTCGGTGAAGTTGCTGCTTTCTTTTTATGACAGCAGGTGAATCCTCTCAGGAATTCGTGCTGCCTGTGGTACAAAGCAAATCACAGAATTTTAATAATTCCATTCGATCGGAGCAATTTTTGAAAGCGCATTCACATCCTCTTAACTGGCTGGCTTTCTAGTGATGTGTGATACAACATGTACTGAATTATGAAGGTATGGTTATCTGTTGCAGGCAAAGGTGGATGATATGGAAAAATATATCCTGATACTTTCTCTTAACACACAATATGAATGATAATATTAAGGTTTAATAAGGTGAAATGAGCATGATATACCAGGAAAACGTTGTACCAAAATGTAAAATTGAGTACAAAGAGTTCACCATTTGCAAAAAATAAACTATTTAATAAACCATAAGCTCAAATAATTGGTTAAAATAAATGAATAATTCATGAATAATCAACTTCTTGTTACTATGCAGTTTATACAGTTACTATACAATGGCTGTTGCCACTGTCATTGTCACTGTTGTTGTTTTTATTTACAGGCTGTCTATAATTGGTCTAAATTGTTATGATTCATGCAGTTATTCAGTTCTCTAGAAGCACAAACAGTACTCATAAAATATTCAGAAAAGCATATTGTAATTTAAAATAATAAGGATAAAATTCAGTAATATTATTGCCCATCTCTAGTTGCAGTTTTTCATGTTTCTTTTCATTTAATAGACAGCATTGCTCCAGTTGGCAAATGTAAAAGCCTAAACCAGCTTTCTTTAGATTTTAATAGAATTAATAAAATACTTGGATTTTTAGTAGGCACTGTTACTAATTGCAGTTTGTCGGTAGCCACATGTTTTCATATACATATTTGCCCAAATTTTGATGGCCAGAGACATTTTCACAGTACGATATGTATCACGATATTTTCACAGACATACACGGTGCACCTGTGTTTGAAAACTGCGTAAAGACTCTGGTTACAGTGTTTTTTATTCAACACATCACATACTTTACTGCACTAAATCCAGTGACACTGTACTGCACTAAACATGACACTTTTTGCTCTGATTTATAATGAAATGTACAGCTGGTCTGTGTTCTTTAAGCACAGATGATATCCATGATATACTCGGAAAAGCATTTTGTCATGATAAAAATAATGTTGTCATATTGCCCACCGCTACTTCTGTATGAAAAAGAATGGAGAACGAACTCTTTTAGCTAACATTTGTAAGATGTATTCTCTGAAGGTGCTGTTTAGGAACAGTAAGAACAAGGGAGAGTAAGTGCCCATGGTAAAAGTTACAGTACTCAGAAGATACTGTGTGCTG